CAGACCCATCACGCTTCTGAGTCATGTGTACAAGCTGTTTTCGAGAGTCATCACGAATCGTCTCGCACGTAGATTTGACGACTTCCAGCCTCCTGAACAAGCCGGTTTCCGAAAAGGTTACAGTACCATAGACCACATTCATACGCTGCGACAGGTTATACAGAAGACCGAGGAGTATAATCTGCCACTGTGCTTGGCGTTTGTGGACTATGAGAAAGCCTTCGACTCCGTCGAGACCTGGGCCGTGCTTAGGTCACTCCAGAGGTGCCAAATAGACTATCGATACATCCAAGTGCTGCAGTCACTGTATGAAAACGCCACCATGACAGTTCGGCTCCAGGACCAAAACTCGAAAGCAATACGACTTCAGCGTGGAGTGAGACAGGGCGACGTTATATCGCCGAAACTGTTCACTGCCGCACTGGAGGACGTGTTTAAGCTTTTGGACTGGAGAGGACTTGGCATCAATATAAACGGCGAGTACATGACGCACCTTCGTTTCGCTGATGATATCGTAGTCATGGCTGAGACCATGGAAGATCTAGGCACAATGCTCGAAGACCTCTGTAGAGTTTCCCAGCAAGTGGGTCTTAAAATGAACATGGAGAAGACAAAAATAATGTCAAACTCCCATGTCGTACCCACTCCAGTGAATGTTGGAGGCTCTACACTGGAAGCTGTCGACGAGTACGTTTACCTGGGACAAATAGTCCGATTAGGTAAGTCCAACTTCCAGAGAGAGGTAAATCGACGGATCCAACTCGGCTGGGCAGCGTTCGGGAAGCTACGCAGTGTATTCTCGGAACATCTACCGCAGTGTCTCAAGACGAAAGTCTTTAATTCGTGCGTGTTGCCAGTGATGACATACGGTACTGAGACGTGGCCGCTTACGATGGGCCTCATAAGGAAGCTCAAAGTCGCCCAGAGGGCAATGGAAAGGGCTATGCTCGGGGTTTCTTTGCGAGATCGAATCAGAAATGATGAGATCCGCAGAAGAACGAAAGTCACCGACATAGCCCAAAGAATTGCGAACCTCAAGTGGCAGTGGGCAGGGCACATCGCTCGCAGGACTGACGGCCGTTGGGGCGGTAAGGTCCTGGAGTGGCGACCGCGTACCGGGAGACGCAGACGCGTGCAACTACGCACGTTTATTACCGACAATATATGATATTTGACATTTTGAAGACCTCACGCTACACTAGCGCCTCTAGTGGCAAATTCAAACGCGTTAGCCCTCAAATGAAATTCAATATTGCACTTGTCAACAACTAATTCTAGATGAGTAACCGCAAGTCTAGAACATGAACTAAGATTTCTAGTGATTTCTGTTGGTGTCACATTATGTTTCAAGAGACTTCATTAAACATTAATATAAACATATTATAATCGGGTGTATGTATGACATCCATTGTAATCCCAAAATTGGTCACGCTTAGAAAAGTATGGAAACATATTATAAATCAGGATTTGATTTGGTTTCTTCGGAGGTTTTAAAACAATTACCAAGAAAAGGAATTGTCCAAAAAACAATAATATTTAATTCAAAGCTTCGATTGCAAAATTTCCCACTAATTTGGAAAGTTTCTGTCCTCAATATGGTTATGAATGCCCACACAATCAGACAAGTCATGGAAAGAAAGGAATACTTTGACCGCGCTTGGCATAGAGGATTGCTGTATAAAAATGTGTTTGTGTTGTGCTAAAAATGTGTTTACCAAATACAACATTAAATCATTCCCTGAGAACCGCGCGATAAGAGTTCAGGACAGTTTACCACACTTAAGGGATATAAAAGCAGGAGTTCCTCAAGGTTCAAACCTGGGACCTATTCTTTACACCATTTATACCGCCGATATGCCTATATGAGCTGAAATAGTGACAGCGACATACGATGACACATCTGTACTTTCGTGCAGTACCCATAGGTTGCATCAAATAAACTCCAAACACACTTGAATGATGTTGATCTAAGGTTAAAGAAATGGAGAATAAAGGCCAGTGCTTCAAAATCAACTCACATTACCTTTACGCTGAAGAAACAGGACAGTCCTCCCGTTACACTTGATGATATTGTCTTGCCTCACAAAACAACAGTAAAATATTTGGGAATGCACCTGGATAGGAGACTGACTTGGCGAGATAACATAAAAGCCAAAACAGATCAAGCTTTTATAAAAATGAGAGAAATGCATTAGCTTTTTGGAAGGCAAACAGTATTCAGTCTGGAAAATAGACTTACCATCTATAAATCTATAATCAAACCCATTTGGACATACGGAATGGAACTCTGGGGCTCAGCAAATCATTCTAACATCGAAATACTTTAGCCATTTTAGAATTCTGCTATGAAAATTCTGTGCAATGCGCCATGGATCACGAAAAACGTCAAAGTACATGAATATATGCAAATACCCTATATTAAGGATGATATCAGGACATCGTGCGGGACATATGTTAGCCGATTGGAACGACATAAAAATATACTTGCTATTGACTCCTTGATACCAGTCATAACATAAAACGCCTTAAAAGAAACCAATTGGCTGCAATGTGAAAGGATCTTTATGGTCTTTAATATTAAAGGGACGCCATATCATTGGATGCGTGGTCTCACAAAGTGTAGAATACCAGCTAGTCTGATTATAGCTGAGAGGCTGATTGCAGACAGAAATAATAAACTTAAATATATATATATATTGCAACCAAATCGATTATGAAAATCGTTTTAAAAAAATGTCTGCGTACTGCTTTAATCAATTCATTGAATTATCAGAGTCCAACATAAGATCGGATCAAAATTATTATGGTCTTTTGTAAAATCTAAGAAGGCAACTGGCAATTTTCCTACTAGAATGTTAACAACTGGACCTGAAATTTGCGATGGATTCAATCAGTATTTGTGTCATTTCACGAAAGTAATTATACGCTCCATCTACGTTAGATATTAATTCAGTCAAGATAACTTTTGATCGTGTTCAAAAAGAATTAAAACAAGTTAATATACGTAAGGGTGCTGGTTCTGATAATATTCACCCCATTCTGGTTCGTAATTGCGCTGAAGAACTCGTTGTTCCCCTCACTATAATTTTTCTAAAATCTTTAGAATTTGGGATTTTCCCCTCTAAGTGGAAAGCGGCTTTAGTGACCCCAATTCTAAAAAACAATCAAAAACATCTAGTAACAGAATATTGACCCATTTCAAAATTATGCATCTTTGATAAAATTCTTGAAAAAATGGTTACTTCACATTTAGCATTGGCAACCCGTAGTTTTATTTCATCTCAGCAACATGGCTTTTATAAAAATAGAAGTGTAGATGACTTTTACTGAATTTCTAGCGCAGGCAATGGATATAAATTTACAGGTGGATGTCGTGTATACAGATTTTTCGAGAGCTTTCGATAAAATAAATCATAATATACTTATAAGAAAGCTTGTAGAAGCCGTAGTTCATGGTAACCTTCTTCGATGGATCGAATCCTACATCAGAAACAGAAGCCAAGCGGTTTGCATCAAAGGGTATCGGTCACAATTTCTTCCAATTCCATCTGGGGTCCCGCAGGGCTCGCATTTGGGTCCTCTTCTGTTCTCTTTTTACATTAATGACATTGGCAATACCTTTAATTGCAGCCGTCACTTGCTTTATGCAGATGATACAAAATTATATAAAATTGTGACTTGTCGTGCCGTTTGCTTTAATTTACAAGAGGATCTCAGTGCACTGTGTGCCTATTGTCTCAAAAACCAATTTTTCTTAAATATCAATAAGTGTCACGTCATCTCTTACACGCGAAATCAGAATAAAGTTAACTTTGATTATTATATGAATAACAACGTTTTCGAACGAGTGACCCATATCAGAGACTTCATAGGGATCATAATGGACTCGAATCTTTCATTTAACTTTCACGTAGACCATATTGTTGGTGCCGCTTTTCGCAGGTTGGGTTTCGTTCTTAGGTTTAGCAAACCTTTCAAAAATACAGACATGCTAATGATACTTTATTTTTATTTCGTTCGCTCTATTCTTGATTTCTGTTACAATATTCACATTAACAGAATCGAAAGAGTTCAAAAGAAATTCTTGAAATCCCTTAATCATACAAATAATAGCAGTTACATGACATACAATGAAGCACTGAATAAATGTAACTGGCTTACTCTTCGCAATCGCCGCGTTATGTTTGATACAGTTTTTTTTTATAAGAATTTACATTCATTTATCGACTCGTCAGAGCTTCTTGGCCATGTTTAATTTTCTGGTTGAACTCATCCCCCTATACGCTCCTCACGTACACTACCTTTGTTTGTTCCTCCGCGTCGCAGTAAAAATGACACCCGAAACGCATTCTTTTATCGTTCCACCACTATATATAATAAGAAACTGTCAAACATAGATTTCTTTAACACATCTCTGAAGAGATAAAATAAAATAAATATTTTTTTATTATTATTTTGTTTTGTTATACTGCACTATCGAGCTCCTAAAATGTCATACAATTTAACGAAATACTGTTATAGCATGATAAAATCTAGAATAGGAATAATTATGCATCAAAGCACCATCAAAGTCTAATGTGTAATGCCTGCCGAATTATAGTTATTTTATGTGCTGAATTATACTTTGAGGTTGTCAAGATCATTTGCATAATTTATTCCATGATATAGTACCCTAGAGTGGATAATAAAGAATGTAAAAAGTTTCAATGTTTTATGAATTCATGCTAAAATAACTTGACATTTTAAAAGAATGAATGTGTTGAGTGCTATAGTAATTACTTGTTAATTATCCATTACATCTCAGATTGAAAAATGAGCAGATGATGTCAGCCCAGCATCACCACATATTCTCATTATTTCAGAAATAACTTAATTTGGCTATTTGTTCTTATTTTATAACAGTCTGATTAAAAATGGTCTGGGTGGATTAAGAATTCTTTTCTAAATCAAAGTAGGTGGCGCTGCCAGCCTGAGACACACAGTAAAAGATGCCCTTTATTTGAGGAGGCCCATCAGTATACATATAATTCTTATTTGTAAGGAGCAAGTACAATTGGTATACTTGGTGAAAAATATATAGGTACAACAATAAAGATTTTCATTGCAATTATTTATTAGCTTCTATTTCTTTATTAGTATCTCTTTTCTGTATAAATCTCAGTTGCTTTTTCTTCATTCTCTTCAATTTAGTTGAATTTGTAATTACTTGTACAATTTCAGACTTTCTTTTATTTTCTTCCGTTTTCTTGATGTTCTCTCGTCGACGTTCTTTTCGTTCAATTTCCTTTTGTTTTAACTCTTCTTGTCGTTGCCTTGACAATTCCTTTGTCCGTTTTAATTCTAATCGTAAAGCAGTCTTCTTTTGGAAGTTAAGTCGCAAACCTTTTGTTTTATTTATGGATGAGAATCTGAAACAAATTTGATTTCAATTGATCACATATTGCAATTACAATAATAACCTACAAAATAACATGGTGTAACTTCATAAAATTACACATCAAACTTATAATGATAGCAGAGTTAAGACAAAACGTTTTAAGTGAAAATGTTATATTGTACCTACTTTTCTTTTTTAGACTTCCAAAATCTTCCTGATTTAGGTTTTCCACGAATTTCGATATTATCATCACCTTTGTGTATTGTATCTGTTACATCAGTGTCTTCATCACTTTGACAATTATTTTTTATATTTGCTATTATAGATAGCACTTTGTCGTTACTGTCTTGTTCTCCAGCCATTTTCGGCAAGAAAAATTTTATCAAAATGAAACTGAAAAAACACCAACAATAATCATAAGAATCATTGTCTGTCACTGTTTGTCATCTGTTGACAATCATAGACATAAAAGAAGAGGACCGGCCATACCTACGAAAAAAGCGTATATGCCTAAACTTCAAATGCAAATTCTTCGATGGCGGATTGTCATAGGGCGTGACCCAAGATATCGATATTTGTATCGACATTGAAGTCATATTAAATAAAAGTTAGTATTTCGTGAAACTGCTACAATACTACTACTTATTAAATAATATAATATAATTTTCATTGTTAGGGGCATGGCTAAACTATTACCTATTACACTTCTATTCATTTCACACTTACGTACCAATCCTATTTATGATTATTATTAATTAAATTGAAAAATTCACGCCAGTATCAAGAAAATAATATTTTTTTAAAAGTGGCGTGAATTTATCAATTATTTATAAATCATTAAGCAATCTTTTGCTCGTATTTTGTTGGACATCTAAAATTTCTTGCGTTCTTTGTTCTTGCGACTCCGTTGCGTCACTATAGTAAATATAACATATGTTACCAGCGTATGATGGCGCTTCCCACGGGTAAAAGATTATTCGTATTCCAAATTTCAACAAAATCCGTTCAGTAGTTTTTACATGAGAGTAACCAACATCCATCCTCACAAACTTTCACATTTATATTATTTAATAATATGATTGTACCTTGATAAATATGTTTCTTTTTCCTCTAATATAGTATATATCTAATATATATAATTTTACATAGTTTTAAGAACTGTAGTACCAAAATATATATCTTAAAAGTTTTACAATAATATCAATCGTGTTTTATAATTATTTCCATATATATTGTCAAGTTGACATTTTGCAATTATAATTAAATAGTTTTTTTAACATAAGTTTAATTTTGCATCCACGGGAAGTGTGACTACTGTCCAAGATAACTACCACGGTAACTATAATAAGCTTTTAATAAATCGATTGACGAATGAATTATTATGCTTTTTTTGTCTGTTATATATTTTTTGGTGGAAAGTGACATTTTGGTCCAATGAAGTCATTTTTTATTTTTCAGTAGGTACGAAATTAAACAGGGTGCAAAAGCAGCCCTTGCAGTTTCTTACCGGTTCCTTTCTTACAGTTTCTTCTTTTCTCGGTACAAGGTTTCCCGTAATAGATTGCTAAACTATAAGCACAGAGTTTCGACTTTCTTATATGCTTGTAACTAGTAAACCAACTTGTCTATAAATTTATTCAATAAATTGTTTTGACTGAATAAATTCCTCATTAAGTGAGATACCGTGCGTACTGTGTCACAATTTTAGTTCAGAACATCTTGTTTAGTAGTAAACATAGAAAACTTGAAACACCTACATAATCTTTGTATTATATTATTGGTAAAAGAATATAAAAATACTGTAAACTTTGATGAATAAACAAGAGAAAATAAAGAAAACAAAGTTGGTGATGAATAAGTAACAATTAGCGTAACAGTAACATTATTAAAGAAGTAACAATTGGCATTTTATTTAAAAATTTGGTTAGCAAGAAGAAAACAGCCGATTAATCAATAGGCAAGTATACAAATATTTTCTCAGCACTAAAACAGTCTGCAATTCATGTTCTGTGAACAATAATGATAACGGTCAGCAATTTAAATTCAAAAAGGTAGCGCCGCAAAATAATTATTTGGGTATTAAGATTATACTATTGAACAGCAAAGAAAAACTTTAACTATGCCTTTAATTTGATAAGTGTGCATATTTTAATTTTTATTAAAATTATTTAACTCATTTTATTGTATATTTTACTGGAAGTATATTATGATCAGAATTTTATATTTTAATATTATTATATATTGCATTCTGATTTTTTTCAATTAAAATAGTCGTCATATGACCGCAAGACTAAAAATAGGTACATTTATAGAATAACAAAATGACTATATAAAAAACTAAATAAATAAATCAGTAAAATCAAATGAAAATTAACTAAGTGTAATAGACATTTTTTTTAAATAAGTTAAAAGCAATTGTCAAAAATTCTTACCAGAGTATTTGATTGGCAATGCATCATCTCGTAATTTTATTATATTTAAAGTTCGATTCAAACAACTTTCCCTAAAATGAAGTGAGCAGATAAAAGTAACTTTTTCATTACATTTAATATTTTCTGCTTCTATGTAACTCGGCCATTTTCCTCTTTTGTTTCATCTTTTGGTAATCTAAAATAATTTAATATATTTTTAAATATTAAAATTATCGATATAAACCATATGTTAAAGTAACGACACTAGCCATGTAAACAATATTATTTACGGACCGAAATATTATAAAAATATAAACGAAAAGAGCAATATAGCATAAATAGAACACGCCAAAATACGATATGTATCGATTTATACACGCAATCATTTTCAGAATAACTTACTTACGTTTTAAATACTGTAATTCCAAGAAAGTGTTTAACTTACCGGTGAAACGTAATATTGCTCGGTTTGCGGGATATTGATGACGCACAACCAATTATACAGCACCTAGGCATTGTTTTGCATAAATAATTTACAATTTTCTGCCATGAAAGTTATATAAATTAAAGTTATAAATGAAAATAACCACAAAACTTATAACACTGACAGCTGAACTACTTCCGAGAATACGCAAAGCAAATTTGCAAATGGCTGACAGGTGGTACGATAGCTATATCTCATGACGTCACGTAAAAAATTTTGAACTGTCACACTAGTGTTATCTTTGTTTACTAAAGAAACTTCTTATTAGTTAAAAAAAGACAACATGATGTTTTTGATGTCAACTTCAGATTGCATGATATTTATATAACCATAGAAAATATTTCCACTCTACCTTACTCTATGTTGTCAATGCACCTACAGGTGTCACCGTCACCGTCACGTGTTCTTCTTCTTCTTTTTAATTAATGGCGTTGCCCTTGTGGATTTCGCTAGAATCCAGTGTTTCGCCCAGTTTGTTTCATATTTTAGTATTTTATAAAATCTACTCTTTGTATGTTGGTAGTGAAAGCCCAAGTTAAATTTAAAATTAAGTTCAATTTTACCTACCTGAAAGGGGCTTACGTAACCTATTAACTAACATATTAAAAATCTGAAATTGGAAACTCAGATATTAATACAGATACGAAAAAGTACAAATAAAATATGAGTTGTTTATTGAGTTTTGAAAACTTATTTAGTTTTAAACATGAAAGAAAACCGGGAAGATCGCCATGGAGAAATCAAGAACTTACCGTGGCGACATCTAGTTAAATTTCAAGAACTAATTTTTTTTTAAATACTTCATCATTAGCACTAGATAAACAATTATTTATACTAATTCTTAAGTTTCTATTAGTCTTTTCGATACACATGCTTTAATGTCACCCGAATCTTTCCAAACAGTCGCTCAGGGAACTAATTGTCTAACTTTAAAATCTATCGCTGTCGCTTCGGTTTGAAAGATGTTGGATAACCATTGCTTGTTTTTGAAGACAGTTGAAAAAAAGTATTTGTATTATGCAGCAATGGTTGAACAACACCTTTCAAACTGAAAGCGATGGCAATAGATTTAAAATTAGACAATCAGGGGGCAGTTTATTCTTTCGTTCATTCGTATCAGTGAACAAACATAAACTATTGAAATATATAAACGAATTAAATTCATTAAGTGTTGGGAAAGTCGTGATTTTTTACGTTACCGTATTGCAATAGTTTGTCCAGTGAGTAAAATAATTTGCCATACAAATTGAATATTTCAGTTTCATGTCATTGACACTAACAAGTATGTTAGAAACTTATATTTTACCAAAGATAAATATTATCTTTCCAATTATTATAAGAGACAAATAGCTATTTCACTATCATATATTTTTTCCATAACAGCCAAAAATTTGGCTAACCAGATTGCTCCTATTGAACACCAGATTGTTCCTATTGAGATTTGGAATGTGTATCATTTTGCTGAACCGACTCGATTCGAATCGAGTCACTGAGTCGATTCAGTAATGATTTACATACCTACATGTCGTCAGTGATTCACTTTTCGCCCTTATAGAAATTTGTGCAGTTGATTGTGTTGTAAATTGATTCCGTTTGCTCGCATACACGGTCAAAAATTTGTCTCAAAGTTTGAGTGCTGCTGAAGTCCTAATTTTTAAAACTATGCCGGTATACAATTATAATTTTGGTCTAGCTGCTTTACTGTATTTATCGATCTTCCTGTTTTACGTTAAAGTTTTATTTGTAGGCTTATCATTCTACGTTAACTGATTATAACCAATCTGTGGGCAACCTGGCCCTTCTCCCGATTCGCACTACGTTCAGAGGACCTGCTCCAGCCAGCCCGAAGATCGAATTAGATGTCATAGACGAAGCTCTCAATTACTTCAAAGCTAATGTTTTTTTCCGATTTTATGAAATTAAAGTAAGTGAAATATGTATTAAGTTTAATTAATATTGAAGAGCTTAAAAGATAAATGAATAATATTTTAAATATGATTGGTAATTCTAGTCTGATGCAGATCGGGTTCTTATATACCTTACTCTATATATATCAGAGTGCCTGAAACGCCTCCAGAAGTGTTCCAACAAGAATCAAGGACAACAAGAAATGTATATGCTGGCAATTTCAAAATTTGACATACCTGGGGAGCCAGGTTTTCCATTAAACTCTGTATATGCTAAGCCAACTAACACACAGGAAGCTGGTATGTTATGACCACAAAAATATTATAGTCAAAGTAGATTAAATTGATTTTTTCATAGTAACATTGTTCATGAAATATATTTTCAGATTTGATGAGACAATATCTACAGCAATTGAGACACGAGACTGGCACAAGGGTTTGTGAAAAGGTAAATATGATATTTCTTATATTCATTTATTCAGTAGACAAAAAATTATGGTATTTAATACATACTAAAAATATTATAGTATGTATTTATTTAAGTTGTTTTTATTTTAGGTATTTGCGACAGAAGATGGGAAACCCAGTAAATGGTGGCTGTGCTTTGCCAAAAGGAAATTTATGGATAAATCGTTGTCTGGACCAGGACAGTAATTATGTGAATGTTTTCCCTGATATTATATAACACTATTTCATAGCATTTATTCTGTAAATAATTTTGTAATTCTACTTAGTATTACACATAATAAAATTGTGAAAACTTATTTCAGTTGATCAGAGTTAATCAGTCCCTGTTACTGCATGACATACAGCAAACATCTTCATTATACTATATTTACAAAGTACTTTACGTGCATATTTTGTTCTAATTTTTTTACAAGTATGTAATAAATAAATTTGAGGTAATCCTCAATAATATTAAATAACTATCAAATTCAGTTTGTAAATAGTGTTGCAAAATGTATCAGATTACAGCAAGTCTACTGAATTTAAGATTTAAGTAGACCTGCTGTTATCAGATAGATACATTTAGAATTTTAATGTGGACTTATTAAATTGTCAAACAATTGTATATAGTTTCTTTTAGCCCACTGAAGTTACTTGCTGAATAGTTCACTATTAAATTGCTTAGCAAATAAAGAAGTAACAATAATTATAATGCAAAGAAGGTTGATAGGAAAGAGTAGTTTTACAAAAGAAAAAAATGGCTTCTACATAATATTATTTAATATACTGAAGTCAGTCCAATATTTAGGCTTCACTCACATTCACATGATTGTACTTTTAGCTACTAACCACTGCATAGTAAAAAAAAAATACTGTACACATCTTATATTTAGTAAAAATGTTAAAATACAGAAATAACATTTAATTGATTCTTATACAATAGCTCTCCTTAATATTTTAATTGATAAATATATTGGATCGGAAGACTTTTGAACTTCATAAATGTTATGTATAGGTTCAGTAAATTTTTCAGTCTAGAATGGATTCCTTTTAATTTAATCCATACTCTTTAATAAGTTGTCCAGCGATAACTAATCTTTGAATTTCGGATGTGCCCTCATATATCTCTGTGATCCTTGCATCTCGATAGTGCCTCTCTGCTGGCATATCTGACACATAACCCATTCCACCTAAAATCTAGAAAACATAAGATGTACAGTTTAATGACTATATTTGATAAATTTTGCATTTACAATGCTAAACTCTTAATGAAAAATGCTTAATATTCCCTGGCAGTCTGAGATAGGACTTGAACTTGACAGTGGCTGGAGCTGTCGCCTAAAGGCGCCTGCGAAAGGGTGTGGGTTTGAGTCCCATCTCAGTCAGCCAGTGACAAAGTGGATTTTTGATTTCATTAAGAATATCTACAGTTTTGTTAAAAATTATTCTACTTATTTTTTAACTGTCTTGCTTCATATTTTAGAATATAAATTGTAATTTAACCTGAATGCACTGATGGGACACTAATGTAGCAGCCTCAGAAGCAGCTAGTTTTGCCATTGCTGCTTCTTTAGTGTATGGGTGTTTATTGTCTTTAAGCCATGCTGCACGCCAAGTCAACAACCGTGCTGATTCTAATCTCAATGCCATATCTGCTAACTTATTTTGTATAGCCTGAAGTTTCATTATAGGTTTTCCAAATGCTGTTCTCTTTGAAGCATATTCTGCTGCTACATCTAATGAGGCCTGTAATAGAAATACGATTATTCTTAAGTTGATACTAAAGAATTTATAAATTACATAGTAAGTATGCTACTATAGTAATGTTGCCTCTTTTGCATTAAAAATTATACAATTGGTAATTGTTAAAATTACCAATTGTATAATTTAAAGGATGCCAATAACACAAATTAATCATGTTTACAGAATGGTCATTATTTATTTTATTTATAGTACTGCCACATAACATAACACATATTAATACATTTAATTAAAACTTATTCTAAATAAAAAAAAAGTCTGATATATGTCACAATTAAGGCGTACATAGCATTTGCAGTCAATTAATTTGAAGTCAGATGAGTTTGTGATATTAAATAATTGATTAAAAAAATACATTAAAGTTATTTAAAATATTATAAAAATTATTCACTAAATAAATTTTGCAAGCATATATTAAAATTAGAATCAATAATAAAAAATATTAAATTCAATTGAGTGGTCAATTATCATTTATCATTCATCATTATTATTAACATTCTCAAAAAAAAGACGGAGAATTTTTGATTTGAATTTACTCAAAGTGTCACCAAAAATGTCAAGGCTCAATATATTATTCGATAAATAATTGTAGTCATTATAAATTCGTGCCATTGGAGACTTTACCCAAATTGGTTCTAGCGAAGAGCATTATATATATTTTGACAATGCAGTGTCAGTGTCTTGGATAGCTGTAAGGCACTGAAAGCGACATGTGTGACATAAGTTCACCGCATTATATTCTTCCGCTAACAATTTTGTAAGCAAAACACATATTCTTGAATTTAGTTAACCATTGTATTACAAAATTACCTGAGCTATTCCTAATGCTTGAGATGCAATACCAATCCTGCCAGCATCAAGTGTCATCATAGCTATTTTAAATCCAAAACCTGGCTCTCCTAAAATATTTTCTTTAGGAATCTCGCAGTCTTCATACATTAGCGAACATGTTGAGGAACCTCTTATACCTAATTTGTCTTCTTTTTTTCCTAGTTCTAAGCCCTTGATGGGTTTTGGCACTATGAATGCTGATATGCCCTTGTGTTTCATATTCTTATCGGTTGTTGCAAATACAACAGCTGCCTTGCTTTCATATCCATTAGTTATCCAACATTTAGTGCCATTAAGAATCCATTTGTCACCACCATCCTTAGCAGTTGTAGATGCAGCACCAGCATCTGATCCATTACCTGGCTCAGAGAGGGCAAAACATCCAATTGTGTCTCCTAGAAAGGAATTTGTGATTATGATTGTTAATCTCATTTGAAAAATATTATATCATCTTTTTAAACTATAAATGATGTTTATTGATTTGAATACCAGTCTATCAAATAATTAATTATTACTTATTTAACAACACAACTTTTAAATAGGGGTTTAGTTTATCTTGATACCAGATTTCTTGTGGGTTAAGCAGAAAAAATAAGGAAATATATCTAAAATGTAATAATATCTGTATAAAAGTTGTTTCATTATACATTATATACCATAAAAAATTACCACTGCAATAAGGAGTAACAAATTCGTTTTTCTGCTTCTCAGTGCCCCAGTGTGAGACTGGGCCCAAATACAATGAGTTATTTACAGACATAATTACACCAGATGATGCACAGCCCCGAGAGATCTCTTCAAGCGCTATAGCATAAGCGAGGTAGTCGAGTCCAGCTCCTCCGTAGTCTTCGGGTACTGCGATGGCCATAAGACCAAGTTCACCCATTTTCTTAATAGCATCTCCAGGGTATAGGTGCTCACGATCGTATTTAGATGCGTTAGGTTTCAGTTCAGCTTCGGCAAAATCTCTACATGTTTTGTAGAGCATCTGATAGGTTTCAGGCAATGCTGATAAAGAAGCTATACTTCTTGATTGTCGTACAGCAACACCAGAAAGTAGAGGCACTGAAAATTTTAGAAGTCGTGTTCTTTTTTTTATGAAGTTAATTTACATGCACAAGGACAATAAATTATAGATAGCTGCTTACCAATCGTTTGTACACTTTTAACGAAAATATTTTGCATAGCTGCGTTTTTCAAATAAAATAAAATTATATCAAACGATACCAAAACAGTACTTTGAACTTTGAGATTCGTTTAGAAATCAATAACAATTAGTCTGATGAATGTGTAATTTATCATGTTCAGCTAACAAGCACATTTTCCTAAACGAAAAGAGTTGTCACCCTAAAACCACGAAAGCTAAAATAAATGACTTTTTTTCAATGATTTTCCTGGGAAAATAAAAATTGTTGGAATATGTCAAAACGTTAGCAAATATGTGGGTAGTTATGATTTTCTAATAAGCAGAAACAGGTTTTGCCATTTACATTACCTTTTTAATTTAAGTATAAAAAGAAAATAAACTTTGTATTATACATACATAACCACAGACATAGTATATATATACTAACATAAAATTTCTAATGGGGCTGCATGGACTAAGTAAGGCGCCTATTACACTACCCAATCTATCGGGCACGATCCATCGGGTACACTGTAAATTGGGTAGTCTAATTGAAGTTAGAGAATTAGGCTACCGATATCGGGTGAACGTGGGCGCCCGATCGCTCGATGAGAGTTAGGGCCGATTTATCGGTTAATGTGATCGCTGTTAGGGTGTTAGAGCGCTCAGTCGGTTGTTGCGCAGCGTGCGTGTGAGACGTCAGTGAACGACAACGAAATATGCGAACAGACAAAAATGTCTTCTCAAAAGGAAAAGAAATAATATTAAGTGTAATTTAATATTATTACTTTTTCATATATATATTATATATATATATATATATTTTTATATATAATTTTATATATATATACATATATATATATCAATATGATATAATGTTTTAAACATTTCTAGAGGCTATCTAGTGCATGTGTCTGGTACAATTATAAATTTTATATAAATTACAATAATAAAAACTAATGCTATAATAAACTTTATATTATTGCTGTGCCCGATAGGGTCCATAGTGAGACTAACTTAATTATGTAATATTATTTTAAATTACCTATGGAAACAATAAACTTATTGAGTATTTATACTTTAAGTCATGATATGCATTTCCCGTTGCTAAAAATTTTAAGGTTACAGCACAGCTAACCGCTGTTTTGCGCTATATAAGGTATGACTAAGTTTAATATATGATCAAATTGTGCAGAACTCATTCTGTAGTAGTTCAAACTGCATAGTTGGTCTCTTAGAAGCAAATATTTTTCACCCAACATTTTTTTTTATTATTTACGCCCGCAGTTAAAGTATGGGCTATGCCAATTTTTTGGTACTTTGTGAGCGCAGGAGCCATCTTTTGCACGTTTGCATGCTAACTGAGTTAGGGAGGCGATCTAGTGCAGTGTCCCTAACTCAGTTGGCATGCAATTTCCGCTATATTATACTACTCTTTGGCATGCAAACGCGGCGTTGAAAGGATGGCTCCTCCGCTCACAAAGTACCAAAAAATTGGCATAGCCCATACTTTAACTGCGTTGGCATGCAAACGTGGCGTTGAAAGGATGGCTCCTCCGCTCACAAAGTACCAAAAAATTGGCATAGCCCATACTTTAACTGCGGGCGTAAATAATAAAACAAAATATTGGGTGAAAAATATTTCCTTCTAAGAGACCTACTATGCAGTTTGAACTACTACGGAATGAGTTCTGCACAATTTGATCATATATTAAACTTAGTCATACCTTATATAGTGCAAAACAACGGTTAGCTGTGCTGTAACCTAAAAATTTTTAGCAACGGGAAATGCATATCATGACTTAAAGTATAAATACTCAATAAGTTTATTGTTTCCATAGGTAATCTATATATATAAAAATGAATCGCAAAATGTGTTGGTAAGCGCATAACTCAACAACGCCTCGACCAATTTGGCCAAATCTTTTTTTTAAATGTTCGTTGAAGTTCAAGGATGGTTTTTACGGCGAGAAAAATTAGAATTATTGCTGGAAAAACCCTAAAAATAGCCCTTTTCTTTTTCCCATACAAATGATTTGTAACTAAAACGTAGTCAATTTGAGCTTTATTGCTATGGTATAAAGTTCATATTAAATTACAAGCAGTCACTGTTGTCTAAGCAATGTAGGTGTGTTCCTAACGTCAAAGATCATATCTATCAAAACAATGTGCGTGTGTGCGTTGGAGCACAGAATACATAGTTGGAGGAGTTTAATGTCGCGTTCCGAAACTCGCGTTTCTTTTGTATTAGTTTCGGCACGCGAGATAAAATGCATCAGTTTCCACGTCATTACATGTATTGCCGGAACATTGATGAAAATACGCTCTGTAGTAGCAAAGCTGTTGGGTCCTAGATAGCTCATTGGTTAGAGCAGTCCCTGGATCGCGAATGGGTTCGAGTCCCATTCCGGGGTACAGGTAGATGGATTCTTCCAGCATTTTTCCTTGAGAATGTTTATATATTTTTTTAATTCGAATAGTTTACTTTTATAATGCTGTTGTGTGTAATGTGTTTTTATGATCATAAAAATCTCTTTTTTCTATATTTAATACTATTACTATTAATACATTGCAATAATAATTATGATTCAAATGATTAACAATAAAGCGATTACTTACTTTTAAATCCTTATATATGTTTTATTTAATTATTTCTTATTCACAACGCCCTATCACCAGGGTGACGGTTCTGTTCAGGAGAATTTTTTTAAATACGTAGGCAAAAAAACTGCCACATTACAAATCTTTTTGACAGGACGAAGTCTGTCGGGTCAGCTAGTTTAAAATAATATTACATAATTAAGTTAGTCTCACTATGGACCCTATCGGGCACAACAATAATATAAAAGAGGAGCATTAGTTTTTATTATTGTAATTTATAAAAAAAATATAATACATAATTATAAATTTTCAATTTCGCTAAAATCATTGATATCAGAACCCCTGCTATCAAAAATTGTACCAGACACATGCAGGGCTATCTAGAAATGTTTAAAACATTATATCATATTAATATATATAAGAAAAAGTAATAATATTAAATTACATTACATATTAAATTAAATTTAATATTATTTCTTTTCCTTTTCTGAGAAGACATTTTTCTCTGTTCGCAAATTTCGTTGTCGTTCTCTGACGTCTCACACGCACGCTGCGCAACAACCGACTGAGCGCTCTAACACCCTAACAGCGATCACATTACCCGATAAATCGGCCCTAACTCTCATCGGGCGATCGGGCGCCCACGTTCACCCGATATAGGGACCCTAACTCTCTTACTGCGATTAGACTACCCAATTTACAGTGTACCCGATGGATCGTGCCCGATAGATTGGGTAGTGAAATCGCAGCTAAAGAATCCATTGCTGTAAATAAATTACTACACCACTACTACTACTACTGTCACTGTCAGTGTCATTGTCACTGTCGAACCGTTCAATTCATTCTTGATTCATTCATTTCATCCACCCGATTGTCAATACATACAGTTTCTTCTGTTACGAAAAAAATATCATTATTTAACAATGATAAAATGGAGATATTATTAAAATTTTTACCTACTAATCCATTACGACTGGCAGCTTGTAGAATTCTGTCTTTCCATGTAGCTCATTACACTCGGTACGTATTTAAACTATTTTTCACAAAACATTACGTACTTAACCTAACTGCAGTAATTGTTGATTACAGATTAGCTGAAGTAGGCAAACTAGAATCACCAAAAATCTCAGGGAAGTATGATACTGGACAACTCATACTGCACAAAGTGTTTGGATACAGAGGGGTGATTTTATTTCCTTGGTTAGCTAGAGTGTATGATAGAGATGCTACCAATAAGAAAGAAACTTCAGAGTCCTCGAATAATGACGATGCTTCTGGGGATACCTTGTCGAATGTAGGCAAAGAAGTTAAGGGCAGAACACATACATTTTATCAAGTCCTTATTGACACCAGAGATGCTCCTTACATAGTAAGTATTATGTAAACAAACATTCAATTTAATTGTTAGAAAATTTACATGGTAACTTTGATGAACAATACTTATAGATAACTGATAGAATATTAGTATAGTGAATAAAGTTTTTGAGTAAGGAATCAAGTGCAGGCAGTCAGTGTTCTTAAATTTTGTGTTTTATTTGTGTCTCATTATTGATCCAGTCATTATGCCAAACTGCTTATAGGAACTATATTTAAACACATTTGAGTGTGAACATGTCATGAACTTTGGTTAATTAGTTGTTTTATTATTGATAATTATTTTAATATACCTAATTCTATACATATAAACTTAATTATAGATATTGTACTATTTCATTTACTCAGTTTAAAATGAATCAAACAGTTAAAATGAGTTTTAATAAGTTAAATTTGTATGTATAGCTGACTACTTAAGTAATTACACAAATCCATGATCTATATTGTTACTGTTTAAATGAAGATATTAAAGTCAGCAATTTATTTTCGACTGTGCAATCCAACCATGATATGAGACCTGAATGGAAAAAGAAGGTACTATGCCTGCAGTTTATTCAGTGTTATGTGTATGTGATCTAATTAAAAAAAGCAATAGACGCTTCTTAACTACAACAAACTATATATATATATATATCTGTGAACTATTAACTCTATTAATTACTTAATATAAGTGACATTTTGAGTTTCTCTGTGAATATTTGATTACTTAATATAGTTGCCTTATGACCAGTATGTAATAATTAAAAGCTTTTATTAACCTATTTGATACTTAGTGATATATCACATCTGTTATTAATAAAATTATGTCATAGCTGTTGAAAAGCTACTTGATCTTAGTGCCGTTTCTGACAGTATTGAGTTATATATATATATTTGGAATTAGCAAAATTTTGTTTATTGTTTGAGTTAGGTTTAAAATTTCTATGGTTATATGCCATTTGATACCCACGTCCAATGGCTCCTAATTTCAGTACATTATAAAGTTATATTTCATTCTAAAATTCTAAAATAACTTTCATCTGCTTTAGACAACTTGTGCAGGCGAGTTAACTTAATTCGCTCTTGACAAAATCATTGTTTACAAAACAAACTAATTTATAAACAAAATTAATCTAGGGTACTTACATATTTATCCTTATACACACTGTATTAATTACCCAGTAGATTTTTTCTATAATAACTCTTTTTTTGTAATAAATAATAGTTAAACCACTCAGTTGAATTAGCAAAATGGCATTTAGATGGGTAAGCCTCTCAACTGTTATCATGTGCTTTGTGAAGCCCTTTCATTGCGTGTTAAACAGTAATTATGATACGTTTTAAATTATATTTTGTTGTTTAAAAACGTGAGGAAAATAAGTAGGCCTAATTACATAGACCAAAATTTGTTTCTTTTTTTATTATGTTTTTAAAGCTAGTATAGAACATAAGTAAAAATTAATAGTATATTAAAGGGTATATAGTACTGGGAGCAACAAAATGACCGACACAGCCGAAAGTTTCAAGTTAGGTTACATGCAAACGTTCATTTTATTTGACAAATATTTAAAAATAGAGGAGGTGTAAAAATGGAGTAAAAATTTTAAATTTCTAAGTGTTAACAGCCCTATAACGCGCATGCGCAATATCGATTGTGTGCAGATTACAACGAACCGCGAAATACATTAATTTAATTTAATTATTTACCGATATCTTAATGATAGTCGATGCTGAAAATGTCCACTTCCTCTCTGAAGACTGAGCTAAGCACGCTCTTTTCAATGCCGGTGCATGCACGCGCAAAACACATCACATTTCACACAAAACTAAACACAATCTTCACTAAACTAAACTTAACACTCAAGACGAACACTCTAGTATCTTATTAACAAAAATTCAATTAAAAATACACTAGAACAAAACAAAAATCGACAAAAAAGACGCTTCGCAGCGGTGCGTCGGCGGCGATGCGCAACAACACTCCAGCGCAAAAGGTCGACGGCGACTGATCGACCGGAAAATATCGACAGAATAATGAAGCCACCTGGCGGCTGGCGGGCGGGTGGGGCTTTGATATCGAGGGACGAACTCGGTTCACATTTTTTTTCGTCTTTTGATATCACTCATTTTTTAATGTTCTTTTTAAATGCTATTTAAATAACAAATTCCTCAATGATTTTAAAACAAAGTTCACTTGTGTTAATGATGAATCGCTGGAAGATTTGTGAGTTTATCGAGTTTAATTAACGATCCCGTTGTTAAAGGAGTATTACCCCATTCAAACATTTTTTTTGGAGAATTGCTCTTTTTTTAATAAAGTAAGTTAATGTTAGACTGATCTCTCTACAATAATTTAAGAAATTTTACACTCGGTTTCTTAATTGAGAATTTAAAGTTAAACGTCTCAAACTAACATCACTTAGTTTTCGTTTCCGATTTTAGTTTTTTGATGATCAGTTGATAGCAGTTTGATAAAACTAGGACTATTTGACTTTGTGAAATTAAAAAAAACTTAGGTTATTGAGAATAAGCAGTAGAAATTTTCTCCTTTTTTCAAATCAGAAACCGGCTGTTAGTCTGTAAATCGATTTAAGCATCTTGACTGCCTTGTTTATTGATTGTCTGGTAGAATTTGCATGAAAGCAGTCTTATAAATCACAAACTAGTTTATTTCGTTTTTAGAAATGAAGAAGTCAATGACCGATTTAAAACTTTTCCTTAGTACGTCCCAAAAACAGCTGACGCAGGGTTGAAAACACTCATTTTTTTTCAAAAATTTTGTAGTTTAATATCTCCGAAGCTATTTGACCTAGACTTATAATTTTTTTTACATCATATTAAAGACATATAGTACTCTCCAGGAACCTCGGGAGTGTCGCTCGTTCTGTTCCACCGAGTATATGCATAGTGAGACTTCAACACTATTTGATGTCAGAGATGTTCTAATTGTTATCATTGATGAGGATTTTCTTAATATAGTATATTCACTATAGATTAAGTAATTTACATTTATCAAATGCCTGTGTGGGCATAAAATAAATCAGAATGAGGAAATTTTTTTGTCAGAAAATTTATAATTTCATTATAATAATAATTTATTTCAATTGCTTATACATACCAAATTACAAAAGAATACAAAACAACTTTTATATCATTATAGGTATTTCAAACTCATCAGGAAGTTAAATACAAAGAACTTAACTTGTGACAATATGTGCCAGTGCTAAAAAGCTAAAAAATACATGTCTGTTACAGTAAAATTACATGAAAACTTAATTTAAATAATTAATCAAAATATTTATATATTATTTATTTAACAAACTTTATTAATCATTGAATTGGTGCAAAAGGCGGACTTAATGCTAATAGCATTCTCTACCTGTCAACCTTTGGGAACAGAAAAACATGATGGCAGCATTAAATCAACTTATAAATATACTACTTAAAGTATAAACATAAATAAATATTATACCTACACATTAACACAAATACATATACTAGTACTAGTATAGTATATAGTACCACAAAGAAATATGCTAGTTTTTTACTTATTTATAAAAACAAGTTACTATTAATTACTTGCGGTTATCCTTGATATTATTACCTAATTAGGATTAAATAGGGAGCAATTTTTGGAATTTCTCTGTTTTGTTTTTATATTTTTAATTCACTGAACTTTACTACTGAACGAAAGTCTTGTATTTTTAGAATTTAAGTTATTGAAAATTAAATACTGTATTTTATCATTACATTATTCAGTAGATCTACTGTAATTACAGTTAATCTGGAAGCTATGGTACGAGCTCGCATGGGCGCATTGTCGTCTCGCTTACTAAAAGGGAGTAAGCGAGATGTCAATACAAGGGATTAAACGACATCGTTTTAATACATAGTTGTGATGATCATGACACAATAACTTATCAAGTAATTTTCCAGTTACAGCTTGTTAGAGAATACATTGATGTCTGGTTGTATATGTTGCTCTAACTGGGAAAATTAAGACATCAAGATCATTTACTTGTATTAACTACTAATTCATAGAATTATCACTTATTGGTATCGTATTTAAGTAGTATCTTGCAAAATAAATGTAAATTTTTGTTCAGCGCGCCCAGACTGAGGCGGTGACGTTTTTGGGCAACCAGGAATCTAGTCGCAGTTTGTATGCAATACCCGGACTTGACTACGTGGCTCATGACGACATCATCCCCTACACATCCGTTGAACGAGTGCCCTTACAACATGAACTTTTTGATAAATTTTTAATGCACAATCCAGATAAAGGTAGGAATGAAAACATTTACGCATTAAATTGGAATTAAATTCACGGCAAAGATCGTAATTTAAAACTTGTCTTGGATACAGTTTCAAATTTCATGTGTCTATCTATACTAATATTATAAAGCTGAAGAGTTGTTTGTTTGTTTGAACGCGCTAATCTCAGGAACTACTGGTTCGAATTGAAAACTTCTTGTTGTGTTGAATAGACCATTTATCGAGGAAGGCTTTAGGCTATATAATGGAGCGAAGAAATAATGGAAAACGCGGACGAAGTCGCTGGCGGCCACTAGTGTTAAAATTCATGTTGAATCATCATGGGGTCAAAAGTTTGTGTAATATAACACACGCCTGCTTCGTCATATCCTTGCAATATGTTCATTGACTTGACTTGGTTTGACATGTGCCCATGTTCCTAGATAACATATCTAGGTATATTTTAACACTATATAGTAATATAATCTGTGATTCTAAGATGGAAGAATGTGTGCCTCCGATTGTTACAGACCCACCATTCATCGCTCAAGAGACATTGCGTGCGTGGCAGAAGAAAAACCATCCCTGGCTAGAGCTTAGTGACGTACACCGCGAGACGACGGAGGGCGTTAGAGTCACTGTTATACCTTTTTATATGGGTAGTCGGGAATCACAAAATTCGGCTGTCTATTGGGTGAGATTATTTCACAAAAATGTACTTTATTTCTATTCAATTAGACCATTTCACTGTTATTGTAAATGTTTATATTAAGAGTAATTGTAAATGTTTATAAAAGAGATGGCGCTCTGTCACGTTCATATCAACTCCGTGTATTTTTATTCTTTAAAAATATAAACAGCTAAAGTATTTTTAGTAAAGTGGTTGATAAAAGTTGATAGTGTTCGAAATAACTGGTGCAAGTGATATCTTCCATAATCTGGGAATAATTACTACAAATTAGTGATCAATAACTCAAACATAAGATATAAAGAAAACGTAATAAATAACTACTCAAATATAGAATTTAAGTGAAAAGAAAATATAAATTGTTTGGCTTCAAAGCGAAAACAAAAATATGTGCAAAAAGTGAAATAAAACCATATTTGAATACCAGTGTGTGGGAAAAAAAAATCCATTCCCTTAATTCACAGTAACGTGTTTTACATATTCAAATAAACTTTTCACAACATACAGTACTTCATTTTTACCACAACTGCAAACTCGATCGTGGCGTGGACGCAAGCCTCTCGACAGCGGAACACATTCGAATACCCGCTGTTCAAAACGCGGTAGCGTATATGTTTTTCGTGAAAAGTGAAAATATTTTAATGCCAGTGCCTATCTCCCGGTTTCATCATCAGACCTTGAAACCTTAATTGGTCAAAGTTCATTACCAGACTTTTCTAACAAGTCCAAACACAGCTATGATGCTATGTTCCATCATGAAGTTCCAGTTCATACCTTCCGGCTTCCGGATCTACATACAGCTGACAATATTCATAACGCTACGATCCTTGGAAGATAATTAAATTAGTTACCTTAGATTCCACTTCATCATTAGTTTCTTACACACATACAGACCGAGCTAATTTTATAAGGTTAAAACATCAACAATGGCAGATTCAGACACCCTCACAGAATGATATTAAGTGATATTCCTAGGTCGGAAAAGCATTGTTGTTTGTATATGTGTGTGAAGAGTTACGACAATATCTAAGAAAGGAAAAATTTAAATATTAATATGTTTAAAATTAAATTATAGCAGTTGCTGTAATTGGCTAAGTGACAATTAGTATCACGACATTAATGCCCGTTTTCACTAAACTTAGGAGTCGCCCAAATCTATCGCCAAAAATATTTGGAAATCGCCTAAGGTAAAAACGCATTTCGCCATTGAGTAGAAACCACCTAACGAAATGAAAAAACGAAGTTATGATATTCATAATGAGCGCCTTGCGCTACGCATTTGCGTATATGACAGGTCATAAATATGTCATAATTCTTATTATTAGGCGTTCAAGTATGACATCCAATAATATTTTATCAATTTTTATTTAAAGTATGTAATGTAATTTTGACGTTGACCATTTTCCTTTATAAATATATTTGCATGCTGTTATGTGATAGCAAAACATTAGCCATAAATAATTATGTAACAACTTTATTCCGTGTTTTGGGCAAATAAATGATTATTATTATTACAAGGAGGACTGTGAACTATCTTGAAGTATTGTTTTCAGTGGCGGTATTGTATCCGACTAGAGAACTTAGGTCCGCAAGCTGTACAACTACGTGAGCGACACTGGCGCATATTTTCGCTCAGCGGAACCCTGGAGACAGTGCGTGGACGCGGCGTGGTAGGACAAGAGCCTGTCTTAGCGCGACACTCGCCCGCTTTCCAGTACAGTAGTCACGTCAGCCTGCAGGCGCCTAGCGGACATATGTGGTAAGTGACGGTGCATCAATCTCCAAGCTTCTAGTACAGCAGTCACGTTAGCCTCCAGGTGCCCAGCGGACGTATGTGGTGAGTGACGGTGCATGAATATACTCGCACGCCTTCCTGTACAGCAGTTACGTCAATTTGCAGGAGATTAGCGGACATATGTGGTCAGTGACGGTGTATCAATACACTCTTCTACCTTCAAGTGCAGCAGGCACATCAGCCTAGAAATTGTTTATTTTGCAATGACTTTAATTATAATCCTATGTTGTCACCAGGGGCACGTTTCGTATGGAACGCGAGGATGGTTACACGTTCGACTGTCGCATCCCACCGTTCTCTCTGGAGAGCAAACCAGACGAGGGCGCGCCCGTAGCCCCCACGCCTGCATCGTGACCACGCCCTACACTCGTTTACGTACACTAACTGCCTATCATACAAATCAGCTATTTAATAAACCAGTACAACAATCAATATAATATACTAACAGTTCCAGAGATCTCATTTAAAATGATTAAATTTTAAATGTTTTTAATCAGAATTTAAGTAGAGTCATCTATAAATAAGTGTGGAACGGTTTAGTTTCAACATAAGTTCATAATTTTTGATAAAAGTGGTAAAAAAAATTTGAAAAACTAATTATTTTTCGTAACGAACACTGATCTTGATAGATAAAACGGCAGAATAGTTTAAAAGATAAAAAGAAGTTGCTATCTAGAATGACGACAGGATAAATATGTTTAAAAATTATTTACTAGGTAGTCATTTGTTACCAGATTGCCTCATTACAATATCTATACTTATTTAGTTTGGATAAACTCACTGAAGTATTTTACTTGCCTTTTTGCTATAAATATGTAATTCTAAATCAATAGAAACGCGAAAAACAAAAGCATAAGTTTTCATTAATTGCAGTTTAATATGTTACCATCATCTATAATCTTAAGCCGTGTACTCGTATATGCGAGCTGTTACTGTCACCGAACTGATACAGTAACAATGTCCACCGACCAAAATGTCATCGACTCGCGGATCACTTACATATTATGACTGTATTGGTAACAGTCAAGTACAACAGGTACAGATACAAATGCGCTGATAAGTACGCGGCTTTAGCACATAACGTTTCGAGATGATACTTTATCCATGAAAGTAAATAGATTTATAGTTTGTGTGACATAGAAAGAATTTTGTAAAAATATTCAGTAATTTTTGTGAAAAATAATGAATTATTTTAAATTTAGATTAGAAATGCTGTTATAGCCAAATTTACATTACGAAAGTACTTGCATGAAACCAGAAACAAGTTTCATGAAACTAATTTTGGCATATGTAAAGTTACTTTCGTAATGGCGTGCAATCAACAGTCTCTCCGAGACACTGGCTTGTCGATATCGAAGCTTTACTATGCACACACGGCGTAATCGAATAGTAATTCTAGAAATGAGTTGCATGAAAGAAATTTCAACAAAAATTTGCGCATCGTATGAAACTAATCTAGTGTCGTGAAACTAGTGCATGCATTGCGAAAGTGGAAGTTTACATGTTAAAGCGTATGTATGTAATGCAATAAATTTAGTTTTATGCAACTGCTTTCGGAATGTAAATTGGACTTTATTAAATGAATCCTGCAGTTAGAAATTACATGACACGGCTGTTGTTTGTTTTTGTGATATTCATTAGAAAATAATAATTTAAGGAAAATTCAATAAGTGTTTTCATTTATTATCATAATGATACTAGAGCTGGATGATTCACAGAACATGATTTTTAGATCAATAAATTCCTTAGTCATTTGTTAATTATGTGATTAGATCTGTATTAAATTACAGTATTCTGTTAAAAAATGTATTTTTATTACCTTTCTTTCTGCTGAAAGAACAATAAAAATGGGGAAATAGTTTGGTGATAAATAAAACAAAAAAGGTCGAAATCTTTTAAGAGATTTTATTAAAACTTCTATAATACATATAGGATTATAATGGAAGTGTCTTGGAACTATACAGAAATATAACATAGCTGTACAAATAAATCATTAGTACGTTAGCTACCCTACACTTATATCAAACAAAAACTTATATATGGGACATTTCATTTGAGATTGATAGGTAAAAAAAAAGTTGAAATGCTTATAGAGTAGTTTGTGGTGAATAATAAGTCCTGAAATTGCACAAAAACTAAATTTTACATCGTGATAAACATAGAGTATCTGATTTTGACTCTTAAAATAGCACGATTATTTTATTATCTTAAAAATTAAATATCGTGATCTTTTGTCTGTGTCGCGTGACATGTCCCACCATTGTGTGACGTCACTGTGGCGACAACTGTCAGATTAGTTGTAAACATATACTTATTAACTATAAATCAAATTCCTAAATGGCGATCGTTACAAGGAATTGTTCTTGTTTAATTGACATATTTTAATCTTCTACTCTATGAATCAGTTTTGTGTACGTATCACAATGACGTCGTGTTTATAACGGACAGCATCTTCGCGGCTATAAAATAAGTTTAAATGTTGATTTAATTTAAAGGTCATAAAACGTGTTAATTTTCCGAAATATTATTTAAACTTTTTTAAATTAAAATAAACAGTTAAAAGTATTATTTCAAACAGAGTAGAGGACCCTATTTCCGTTGAATTTTAATACCTTTTATTTTCCTCTATGTTCTATGTACATGTGAAATATCTTGGTAAGTCTGGTTTTTCAAAATATTCGACTATGAACATTTGGGTAAAAATCGGATGTTACGATGTATTTTAAAGTGGTAAACTTCCGGTTACCGAACAGTGAGAATTTCGTAAAATGACCCGTCATTAAATGATCTCTCACTAGCGCGCAAACATATTGGTATTGCGCTGGCACAGATGCATCTAGCCTATTTTATTATAGTTAAGTAAACCTCAACAGAGTTATTGATAAACAAGGTTTTGCGTTGGTTTAAATTTACGCTGAGACTGCACTTAGAATTAGTCAAAAATAATTTTATTAAATAGAAACTTAGCAATGGTTAACATAGTACGAGGTTCTACGGGAGTAATACCTAGAAGGTAGTATAAGTTTTCTTAGTCTCTGTATAATGTGTAGAGTAAATATCCTTCTAGAAGAGTAAATATTACTACCGTATGAGTTTGGCTTTGCTTAATAAGCAAAGTTCAGAGTAAATTTACGCTAAAGTTTCAATTTTAGTATTAGCTCAAATTCATATTTTTCAGAGAATAAGCAAGGCGTAAATATTACTCCCTTAGAACCTCGAACTAGGTTAACCTTTGCTAAGACTCAATAATATGAATTTTGATTAATACTATGCGCAGTTACAGCGTAAATTTACTCCAATGCTAAACCTTGTTTATTAATAATATTGTAATTGTTTACGATGTGTAGCGATAAGTGCAAAAGTCTTATTACGAAATTCTCTGTTTGGCGACTGAACTATTGCAATTGTTACGCATCACCTCTCATTAAGATCCGAAAATGTTCTACTGGGTACTGGATAGCTCAATTTATGTGCTGTGATCTCTGTACTCCATTTGAAAAGTTGGAACAAATTAACTATTATACGTCATTAGCTTTTTTAATCTCGGATTTTGTTTCTTTGTTCTTTTAACAAAATCCATATTTTTCGTTCGTTGGAAATTAGTTCATCATCTTTACTACGGTATTATTATCAATTAGTTAATTATAACGCTATAACGAAATTTTTACCTATCAAATTTAAGCGAAATGCCCCATTTATTAGATTAACTAATCTACATTAATTTGCAAAATCCCATCCTTACTTCTAATTACATTTTTGTATACAACAGGCGTATCTTAGCGTTTAATACTTGACATATGCAACAGCATTACTTTTCAACTGTAACTTCCTGATTTTGGCCATAAATGGTATTATTAAACTTTGGTTTAGCTACAATCTAAAAATTGTCAGTGCAAAGGAAGTCACTGTTTTTTATCCACAAACAAAACCCTAGTCTACATAATATTTTATAAACTATTTACATAACAAATAGAAGCTATTGTTACTAATATTTTCATCAAGAGGAAACTTAATTGTATTCCCCTAGAAGTAATAAAAAATATACATATACTTTCGACATAAATTTTATTGTTGCAAAGATAATAAGGCACAAGAAACGTCAAAATTGTATATAAATGCCTAATATTACATATCTTATTGCATACATTTTCCATTCACGATGCAATATTCATATTTAAAAACCAGCTCTGTAATAAAGCCATAAAAGCAAGCTATAATAAGTAGGTACACGAAAATACAGTAGAACCATATTATAAGTTACACCGTATCATTTATATCGCTCGTGGAACCTAACGATAGGTTTATAAGTCATCGTGTACGTACAGCGAACCGTTTGTTCACTCTTTGGTGATTTTATAATTTTAACGTGGTGATATATCGTGGGCATTCACGATTACACGAGGATTTTTTTATTTAAATTAACGTTGTTGTTCACGTAATGACGTTCTAAAACAAATGAATATTTTTGTCGAGATACTTCATTTTAAAAGAGGAATTCCTAGAATTCATCTTTTTTTTTTGTTCAACTCAATCAAATACACACAGTGGTGATTGAGAGAAACGCATAAAAGTTGGACGTCAACGCTCTACGTCACATTAGATCGTGCACGTCAAATACGGAATTAAAAAGCGCACATTGGTTGATGCGCCACCTACTCGCGCACCCGAGATATGGTGACACGCCTGGACAGCCGATAGTTGTCTGTATATGTTAATACAATGTAACATTATTGCTTTAGCTTATTCACTTCTTCACAGATAAATTTAACTTATAAAATGGTAGCAGTACTGTAGAATTCTTGATTTAAAAAGTTACGTATTGTATAGATGGGACATTTCAATGCATCACAAAGATAAAGCCAACACTGTTGCATCACTTTTCAAACTAAACTAAATATCTTCTAATTTTATTTAGGTTTGTTTTAACGTTATTGCGTAGTCATATGTGAAACAAATATCCTATCTATACCATAAATAATAAGGTTACCCTTGTTATCGTAATTATTTGAGGTCATAAAAAAATAACTCACATGTTCAGGTTTACAAAGTGTGACATTGTGTAATAAGGTCTAGGAATGTGCACCGCTTGACGCGTGACATAATTTACGGATGGTCCCTTTATAAATTGAAAACGCAGTTTGAAAGGATTAAAACTTTTAGTTTAGTTTGTGCAACAAAATTGCTATAAATGATGTCCATTGAAAATATATGGTGGTATTTTTTTAATCTGCAATTATTGCCTATGGTATATGATAATGACAAATGTCACAATTATATAATATACTATATGTGCCTTCACAACTGTTTGAGGTGAGTTCATCTTACGCTAAAAATATATAATTTTGTATTTACAATATATTTGTAGTGCTCGTTGGTTCGAGTGACACAGAGACAAGCGATTGCTTTTTTGTGCAAATAATTCATTAGCATATGTAAACTCATTTGAAAAGAAAAAAAAACGCGTTTTCACAATTATGTTGAGTTAGGGTGTTTTTGTTATGAAACTCACCTCTCCATCTAATGAACTCTAGTGCAGTTATCGAGCCAGTTGTATGATGAGCGCGGCGCACATTTCGAAGAACTCCATAGTATGATGACCTTGGGCTTGTGATGGTGTAGTCGGCGGAGGGGGAGGGGGGGCCAGGGGTGATGCCGCTTCCTCGTCGGATTCTTCCTTCTCACCAGATAGAGACTTGAAGTCCAGTAAATAAGACTTGTAATCTACTTGGTAAAGCTGCAGCGACATCTTCACGTATTTTTCAGTCATCTTGTTTAAAGTCCGCACCCTAAAGGACCAAAAAAGAAAGTTTACTCTCCATACAAGCATTGATCTGTTAAATGCATTTTTAAATGTTGATGTATAATGAATGATGTTACTAATTTATTTGTTTTAAATATGTTCGTAAAATATTGTAAAAAAATAATTATTTTGAGATTATTTTGCAAAACATCAAATAGAAACGGGATTTATCATCTCAATCAGAAAGAAGTATTTTAATTACTGGCTAAGACTCTATTGAGACTCTTCTTAATTCTTAACTTTGTAAATATTTAGTTTTCATAGTCCCATCACATTAATATAAAACCAATGATATTAGCTAAAAACAATAATTAATAAGAGCGATAGTCAGCTATTTCTTTAGAAAAATATAGTTAACACTAGTAATTCATGATATAAAAAAATCCTCATTCTTACTCATGACTAATTTTGTTTATTTTTATTCTACATCTTCTCTAACAATGACATCATTTGAAAATGCTAGTGGTGGAACCATGTTGTTTTGGTGTTGCCAATCCTATAAAACAAACTATAGACATGACATAGACACACCAGCCAAGAGTGTGTCGTCTCACTAAGCAGCTGCAGCAATATTCTGCAATGGCTTCTCTTCCTATTATTTTCAATTAAAATATAAACATAATATTGCCGTAGCCCAACATATTAGTATTTCGCTTACCCTAAGATTGTATTTTGTGACATTAAAACTTTCTCTACTAACTTCGATTAACCAGGGAACGTACATACTCACCTTAGTAGGACCTAGCTAGATGTAATTGGTATATTCCCAAGGCAAATATATAATTTCGTTATATTACATATGGGGCTTCCAATTAAAGTAAAAATTATCTACATATCTTGATAGACTATTTTCTTAGGACATTCTCAACCTTATAACATTTAAGTTTTGCTCAGCATCAGCCTTATTATTTCAATAGTTAGATACTTAAGATTTTGCAGTATTGCTAAGTTCCTTTGCTTGTCCCAATGGACAAAACAAACTACAGCTGTTGGGCAAACGACATAATCAAAGAGTTCCGTTTTGATCATCTACATTTTTCAAATGTATTAAAATGATAAAATATTTTAAACTATGAATGTTATAAGATTGTTATAAGAAGTAACAAAATAAAAAAGATTTTTCTTAAAATGAAAAGTCATGATGCGATAAATATTAACCATGATTCTTGATGATGACAGGTCAGAATTGAATGTTCTTCTTTATTTACTATACTAGATTTTATTCTAGGGCTTGGAAAACTGTTTAATATCATTAACCAGTTCGTAAAAAACTCTAAGTATATGCTTTTTCGAGTGTTTCCATTTGGGTTTCACTTACCTAGAATTTTAATAATTTCAGATCTGATCAGAGATCAAAACAAAACGGCTTATGCTCAAAATAACAGTTAATTTGGCGCACAGATTTTGGTTACTCTTATTGGTACATCTTCGATTTATCGCATTTTAATTAACTTTTTATTAATGAATAGGAATCAAGTCTTTAAAAACTCTTGGAACTCGAGTGAGACGGAGGGGAGTACGAAACTCCACCCCATTTGTTTGCTTGGAACTACCAAATTAATTTTAGTGGTTATAATGCTCGTGAAACGATTTAAGCATTTCCCAGAAAGCTCTGTTCGAATTTAATATTTCGATGCACGCCCATGTTTAATTCTTCTTTTAAAGTCTTCTTTACAAAGCTGGAATACGAAGCAAGTAATATATTTACCTGACGTGATAGGGATTGATGACTTTCCATTCGTAGTCGAGCGCTTTCATAGCGCGGAATACTTCTAGCATTATATCGTTGGGTTTACTCTGAGAACGGATTCCCAAGTGCCATTTAGCTCTGAAAATTGAAGTAGCTAGATATATTTTTTTATCATTAATGTAAATAGCGTTTTAAATGATAAGTTTGTAGGGAAAAGGCAGGGCAACATAGAAGGAATGGGCAAAATAAACTTCTTATAATAGACAAAGTATGTGATCAGTCGCGAGTGTTACTTCACACAGAGAGATACGTAGCTCTGTGTTATTTACGAACGATATTTAGTAAAATGTACAAGCTATGTGTTAATTGATAGGAAAATATGACAAAAACATCAGATTCTCTGCTTTGATTGCTAAAGGTAAGAAATAAGACTATTTTGCTTTGAGAGTAAATATATACTACAAATCGAGTGTACAGATTGATACAATAACCAAAGCAATATATTCGTTAAGTTATAGACACGTTGATATTATTATAATACCAGCAGACAGACGAGATGGAAATTTAAAGTTGTGGGCAAAATGGAAGGAATAAAAAAGGAAAGTTATAACAATGAACAAAAATACTACTAAAAACAAAATCACATAATTAGGAAGCACAGAAAATAATGGAGAAAAATACGAAAAAGCAGCTATACACTGCTGACGATGTCTGTCGTATTATAAATAAAAGTAGGCAAGGTAGAAAATTGTTGTATTTCAAGTTTTAATTGCAAAACTAAAATTTGTGTAATATATTCCAAATTGCTTTTAACCTTTCCATTTTGCCCTCTAAATGATGGCAAAATGGAATTTCTGACGGTTTTACTTTGCGAGTTATAACTCATTTTTGACTAGAATATAGTTATTGTTAATTAGAAATTTGTTTTCATTATTTAATTAACTTTCAAGAACAATTTAAATACGAGACTTAAGGTAAGTACATTTCTACGATATTTTCTAACACACAAAGTTAGCACTTCCACCTTGCTCCTCTCCCTTTCCCTAATTGTATATATTATTTGATTGATGCTCTGAGATGACCCGGAGACTGCTAAGACTAAGATCATCTTTTACATAGCATCAATATTACAGACTTAGCGTTTATGTTAAAATAAAATGCTTATAAAAAATTTGATTACTCTTTTGAAGCAACAGTTTTAATCATTTGGTTACCTGTAATATTTATTTTATTAAAAATACATTTAACCATTATCAAAAACTTCGCATATTCTATTTTTAATCCTCCCTTGACTCCAAAATAGTTGTATTTTACTGACCAAAAGCTTAAGGATCAATTTACACCACCGAGTAATGGATTGGAAGTTCACAAAGATTATTATCCTATATAAATTTTCGTTGAAAATCGCTTCTATTATAGTATACTCTACTCATATACAGTAACTTTATGTGCGTGACATATACACCAAATACAGTAATTTCAACAAATTGAAAATAAAAAGAATTACTGTGACCAGCTGTACCTAACTATTTAAAATAAGTATAAATTATTTTGTTTTAAAACAAGATTATAAAATGCTATGAGTGATAATATGGACTGATAAAAATAACTAACTTTTGTAAATACGTTATTTGAATTTAATGCTCAGATCGATACAAGAAGAATTAAACTATGAATTTTCTGATTGGAGAGTATTAACGACTGCAAATGCTGCTGGGACCAACGGCTTAACGTCTTTCGAAGTAGCTCGAGATAATTTTTTTTTTGTCATCTATCTCGTGACCGACCCTTGCGAAAATTGTAAATCTCAAATCTGCGGCTCATGTGTCCATCGCATCACTCCGATACCATCCATTCTTCGTTTTTTGTTAAATCGATTCTGTTGTGGAATGAACTTCCGTTGGATATCAGAATGTCCACCAGCAAAGTTACATTTAAAAACAAGCTGCGTAGCTTTCTATTGGAACAGGCTAATTCGTTACACCGTTAGTCGTCTACATTATATTATATATATATATAATATAATGTAGACGACTAGTATATATATATATATATATATATATATATATATAATATAATGTAGACGATATAGATAGATTATATATTATATTAGTATATGTAGTTATGAATGTATATATGTATTGTTTATGTAAGTTTATGTATTTTGTTATAGGTCTTATTTTCTCTGTTTATATCTCCTGTACAATGTGCACACTACCACCTTTTATCTCCACATCACCCATCTGGTTGAAGAAAATGCCTAAGGCATTAAGTCCGCCAATGTATTATGTACCTACATGAAGTGTTAAATAAATAAAAATAAAATTGCTTAATAACAACGATCGCGGGCCGCGGCGCTTATCCTCTACGCCACCGAGTTACTTAGGTTTCTTAACCAAGGTTTATTACGAAATCCGATTCCATAAAAAAAAAAACTCCGTGCAGAACGAGACATTTTCGATGCAAAAAAGGGAAAGAACACGTGTTGCCCGGACGACGATGGAAGCGTCACTGCCACATAAATTAAGGATGTGACATTACAAGTTCACGCAAATATGGCGCCGTAACACTGTTAGTACACCGACGCAATCGCATGCGAATGCGAAGCATTTGCGAAATCAGACGCACACGTTTCGCATTCAGGGTTGCCACCCGTCCTGATTTATGATGACTATACGAATATCATGGAGTTCGTTTCTAAAAAGGTAATAATCCTGTTCACATTCGCATAAGTAACAATGAGAGAGACCTTTTGACTGGAGTTCCTCGGGCTTTGTTCGGCTCTGCGGGTTGTGCAGCAGGTGACGACTTGTCGCGCAACGGTGCGATTCTCTCCGGATGGGGACGAGAACTTTCACTAGTCGCTGGTGGCGAGCTGCCTGCGTACGTTATTAAAACTTTTCATTCATTTTCATAAGTAATAAGGAATAATATTTTATTAGTGCAGAATTTTTTTCATATGGTTTAGTATCGTCAATGAATACTAATGTATAATATGTGAAGTGACTCTGTCCGTGTGTCTGTTACGTTTTCTTGTACATAGATGGAAATCATGAGAAAGGGCATAGGATAGTTTTTATCGCAAAAATATTCAACAAGCCAAACATGCTGGCAGAAAGCTAATATAAAATAATATAATTTTGATTTGAAATTTCTATATTTATATATAAAAATTTAGTCTTATTTTAATTTTCAATAACATTTTATAAACATTAAAATTTTATTGAAAATTAAAATAAGAATATAATAATATATATATATTAATAATATATATTAAATAATAATTCATAGTAGTAAAAATATTGAAGGCATATAGACTAGTTCATTGTTAAGTATCATCATATTTTTAAGCATTTTTTTTATTGTTTTGTCTTCTACATTAGATAGATAACCTAATAGACTCTAAGTAACTACTAAACTACTGGACAGTTTTTAATTTTTTTTGCCAGTTTGTTAGCAACTATTTAGGGCTATATAATATTTTATTTTCGGAAAATATGTCACAAAATTTTGACAATGGCGATTACTATTTATATAAATTCAACTCACTGGCAACATAGAACTCTTTAATTTCGGCTTTAGCAGCTTCGTCGGCAATCCTCTTATTGTCTATGATCAGATGATACGCTATAGCGAGTTGATCGTGCGGATCGCCGCTCAATAGCGCATTGTGCACCTCATGCTCCTTCACACCAAATTTCTCACAAACTTCTGATATTGCTTCAGTGTCGATCACACTACTGTCCTGTACACAAAATATCACTTATGAAGAACTTTCAATATTTAAAGACTGGAGGACAGTGCAATTAAATTAAATGTCTTATCAATCTAACAATCTCTTATCTGAAATACTTCTACTAGATTGAGTGTACTGTGTTAACCTTCTCCCATGTCTAGCATTAATTATACAAAATAGATTATTTTGTTATTAGACTCTTTTGTTAATTAGTTTTGTTATTGAAATAAATATACTATATTTTTCATTCACTTGTGCATAATATGTTAGGCAGAAACAGCACAGTTTGATGATCCTTAAAAATGGTCATCCATCACCAATGTTCCTACATTGGTTCAGATAATTGAAACTACTGTTTATTTTATTTGAAGTATTAAATCTATGGTTTACATTTAAAAATGTTTCATACATAATTATATGAACATTGTTTATTAAAAACTCACCTGTTCAACAGGTGATGGAAATAGATAACCGGGAAGATCTTTTTGAAACCACTCATGTTTCTTCACATCCTCAATAGTGGCTCTCTTCATTGGATCTACTTGCAGCATCATACATAATAGGTTGACCACACTCTTATTTAAGTACTCTGGTATTGGGAATATTCCAGACTTGATTTTCCTAAACAGAGTTGGTACATGCTCATCATCAAACGGAAGAGTTCCACAGAGTAATGCATACAATATGACACCACAGGACCATACATCCACTTCAGGTCCTGCATAAAGTTTTCCTGAGATTACCTAAACAATAAAATTCAAGGTTAATAATAGTGTTTGTGGGAAAGAATAGTGTCAGATCTAAGGTTTTACTTTAGATATTTAAATTATTACAAATTATATAATGAATGAATGCTTAAATACACATTTAAGCATTTGTTTATTATATAATTGACCAGTTTTTGACCCCTTTCATCATGTGATATTTAATATGTAAAGTAAAACCTTTGTGTATTTTTGTGATTTTACTTAAAAATTATGAAAACATCTTTATAAGAATAAAAAAGGAATTGTCTTGTGACATTTTATAACTCTAATCACAAAACAAACTAGGATCTCAAATTACCAAAATTGTACACATATTATTAGTTACAGGTAGACCATAACATATACCTCTGGTGCAGCATAATTTGGTGACCCGCAAGAAGTCCTCAAAAACTCTCCATCCATCATCATGTTAGACAGACCAAAGTCAGCTATCTTCACATGCATATTGTGATCAAGTAAAAGGTTTTCCGGTTTAAGATCCCTGTGAACAATCATATGCCTGTGACAGTAGTCGACGCCAGATATTATTTGCTGAAAGAATCGTCGCGCTTCGTGTTCCTGGAGTTTACCGCGCTTCACAATGTAATCAAACAGTTCACCACCTGATACATATTCCATAATCATGAATATATCGGTTGGTGTGGAGATAACCTGAAAATATAAATTCATTTATTTACAAATACATTTTTAAAAAACAGATTTGTGTTAAGAGTTATAATGATGTTATTTTAAGTATTACTTATTCAATGCAAAGAGCGATTCAGTTTGTCTGGTTATATTACCTTTGCATAAAACTTAGAAACAGCAAATTTGTTACAAATTTAACCAACTCCTACACCAAAGCAAATTATTATATTTAGCCAAAAAGTATATATAATAAAATCTGATATTGTCATTGCCTTTGAAAATTGTGATTATCTTTATTCATTTGCCAATCACTCTAAGAGATAGAGGCTTCGTACTTTTCAAAATGTTCAAGGTCAAGAAAGATCAACCAACAATCATTAAAAAAAATACCTGATAAAGTTTGATTATGTGAGGATGCCTAAAAAGCTTTAAATTTTGAATCTCGCGTCTGATCTTTCCCACAACATCAAGAGATTTTATCTTCTGTCTGTTTAATATCTTCACAGCCACTTTATGTTTTGTCAATTGGTGCTCCCCTATCTTCACCTTGCCAAAAGTGCCCACACCCAAAGTAGCTCCAAGAGTGTAGTGACCAATTTTAACAATTGGCTGGTTGCTGCCACTTGCAGCTATGGGTTTTTCTGACATTTTCGTATTTTATCTTTACAATTTATTTTAGACAGATCTAAAATGGACTAAAATAAAATGCCAATTTGATTGATTTTCAACAAGGACACATTATGGCTAGTTTACAAAATTTACTATCGAAAACAAATAAACTCAGCCGAAATACGATTTATTTTAGAATTAGTGAAACATGACAATAGAAAAGTACGGAAAAAATGTTGACTAAAATTTCTGTCACTGTCAATCACAGACTGTCAATCACAGACTGTCAATCACAAACTAAAAAAAAGTATTCACAAAATAGGTCTCTTTTGAAACTCCAAGAATAAGATAGAACGTAACGTTGTACGTAATCGGAGTAATGGGAGATATGTGCCATTAAAGTAAAGAAGAAGAATTATAATGAAGCTAATTGATAAATGCTTAAAAAATCCACTTTACCCCTGGCACTGTGACAATGTGGATTCCTAAGCATATTTCATTAAGAAAACATAAAGTTTTTATTGACTACGTAACGTTTTAAAAACAGATACGCCCTCGATCCTTTTTTTCTTAAAATAGAGTGCTTGACCAAGCTAATCGATAATTTACTCATATATTATTCGTAGAAAGAATAAAAGTTGTTTATTGAGTTTTGTAAACTAATTTACTTTTTAACAACAAAAAAACCGGAAGGGTTGTCGTGAAGAAATCAAGAGCGTACCGTATTTCAGGAATATTTTTTTTAAATACTTCCCCATTGTTTACCCTTTATCAAGAGGTAAATTGTTATTATCGATTAAATAAAATAAGAAAGTGTAATGAATGATAGAGGTTTTACATTAAACTCAATGATATTAAAATAAATTTGTTTATAATATAAAAATCAGTACGATCCTAAGTTTGAGCTAAAAACGATAAGCCATAATTTTCCGCAACAGTTTTTTTTTAATGTTTGTTTACATTATACTACTGGAAATTATGTTAGTTTCAGATACAATGAAGAAGTATTTAAAAAAAAATCCCGAAATTAAACTATAATAATAATTTATTTGCGTTTGAATCAAGAAAGAAAAGAACGTACCGTATAGAGAAATCAAGAAATTCTTGATTTCTCCATGTCAACGTTATGTTATAATAGTTAAAAGGAACGGAAATCACTGTCTTTGGTCCATTCGTATCCTGCAAAAATCAACTTTTGCTAGAGTCGCCATCTAGTGGAGGTGCTTTTTTAGTGCTTCCGTTTTTGTTTAAATACTTCCGCATTATCAGACATTAAACGAGGAAAAACAAAGAGATATACAGCCAGTTGCACGAACGTCCATTATTATTTTCATTAGTTTAAAGCAACATTACCCATACAAGTTTGACATTCATTAGAGCTTAAAGGTGTCATTAAACCTTAATGGACGTTTGTGCAACTGACCGTTTAAGTCACGAATTCACGCATTCATTTTAATAAATTGTTTGTTTTGAGTATTTAATTTGACAGAACTTTGATACTACCGTCTCGCTCTTTCACCTTGCCCCACCTACTCAATTTGACATTCCCCGTTCCCCGCTCCTCGCCTCGTCTGTGTTTTTCTAAAGGATTGTGAACAGGCGATATAATATTATTTTCTTTGATTTTTCTGTGTAATTTAAGAAATAAGTGTTTTATTGAGTTTAAATAAAATGGATAAATGTAGGCTTTGCCGTAAACCAGCCGTTGTAAGTGTTTTTACTCCATCACATAGATTTCTTTTGTGTTTTCTCGGAATATTACTTTTTGTTTCTTACAAGATTGATATAAAAATAACGCTAGGTATTAGATTTCGTGAATTGTAACTGCTTTTAATTAGAGTGATTTGAGAAACTTGATACTCGCTACTGAGGATCCTTCAAAGAAAATTGTATTCATTGCAATAAAAATAAAAATAGTGTCGGAAACCAGCCCGCGTTTTTTTGTGGTCTGGTGTCGGTGTTTTTTTTTGTCTGGCTCAGTATAGCGCCCTATAAAAACAAGAGCTTTGTTTTTTTCTGTGCAGTGACCACTTTATACCTGAATAGTGAACCTTGAACATAACTTCTATAGGAATTCACTAATAATATACCTATCATATATATTTATCAACCAGCTCACAGTGTATCACCAAGTTTTTACTAAAATTATACGTTATAATCCATTTCACATAGTATGGGTACACTGACATTTGTTACCAAATTTATTTCATGCAATTAGTATTTCCAAATATAAAAAAAAACATTGTTATAAAAAATATTTTGACTGTGTATAAATAAATATTTAATAGCCATAATAACAGAAATCTTGCCCTTTAAAATTTAAAAATCATACATACTTGGAATCAAAAACGAAAGGTTTTTAAAGGGGTTTGAATGAATAAGATTGTTTTATGTGTAATCGGTAGGCATTTGAATTTTTATTATTATTCTTGTTGTAACAATTAAATTTAATTATAATAAAATTATGTATTATTTTGACTCAAGTTTTTGTTTTTTGTATATATATTATTTATTGCCACATCATTAAAAACTTCAAATCCCAACCATACCCGTGCTATGTAAAATAGACTATAATTGGGATTTATTTTTTTGAAACAAATTATGTAGTGTTACATATATTTATTTTTCCTTACTGAAGAGATATCTTTAAGTATTTTTTACAGTTATAATGGTATTTCATGTTAAACTCGTTATTGTGTATATGTGTGTCAATGCTTGAAACGAATGACTTATTATTGTTATTATAAACTTCAAATAATTATTAAACTAGTTTATGCTGTCTTAAATTCAGACTATTTCATAGTGTTTATGCTATATTATTATTACCTTTATTATTTATCATGACTATTAGTTTTCTAAGTGTCTTTTATTTTCATTAACTTACAATGTATTACTGTTAATTTTCAGCAATTATTTGAGACTGGAAAGGCGGGTGTATATGCTTGTTTTAAATGTCAACCTCTTGTACCTGAAGTGACTATAGCTGACAATGCTTCAGAGCCTTTGGATCCTCTGGAAGGAACTCCAAATAATGCTGATGAGGTATTAATGAATGAGCTACATATTTACTCTAAAAAGCAAAAACATATTTCGTAGTACATTCTTATGAACATCCAGGTAACAAAAATGATAATTCTAATTTGAATAATATGGAATGAAGAATGTTTTTTTAAATTTTAACAATAAATCTGCTCTTAAGAACAGTTTTGGTTTTGAGGCTTACTATGTGTGTTTGCTTTCTGGTGTTCATGTACTATTTTCAAGCCAGTTGAGTTTAAAATATAATTTAAATGAATTTCATTTCTAAGAATTTCATTATTTTTTCATTATTCTGGTAAAACAAAAATGAAAAATGTAAAGCTACATTAAATTTTGTCATATAATCCACCTATGTAAAGGAATGGTAAATAAATATTCCTGGTTGTAGGAAAGTGGTTACAAACCTCTGTGTTGTGGCATATGCCACAAGACATTTCAGAAGTCAATGCAGTTGCAGAACCATTTGCGCAATCACCGGGCTGAGAGGCGTTTTGTCTGCACTTACTGCAATAAAGGTAAATTTATAATATATAAGCACACATATAGCCAGTTGCACAAACATCCATTAAAATTGTCATTAGTTTAAAGCGACATTAGCCATACAAATTTGATATCCATTAGAGCTTTAAGGCGTCATTAAACCTTTAATGGATGTTTGTGCAACTGGCTGTGAGCATGACAAACTTCAAAACTTTTTTCTTCACTCAAATGTCAATATGTCAGTAGATAGCGTTTCTCGAGTTTGTCATGCTATGCAAGCTGATATGCATTTATTGGACTGACTGTTGCTTTTTTATTTTAAGATTCATAGTTACACTAGAATATCTTGCTCGGCCCACAGTTAGCTTTCTAACTTATTTGAGTTAATGCCACGCACGAGTAAACGCCTGTATTCCTAAGGCGCGGGCACCGCCGTTTGGTCAGCGGCATCTTGCCTGCAAACAAAATTAATGATATGTAGCAAGAAGTGACTAACGGTGGAAACAAATTATTAAGTACTAAATGACTACAAATCAAAAACACTAATGCACCACCTTCTGATGTGTCGTGGACGTAATCTTTTTTTAAATGGTTTTACTTTAAAAGGCTGGCAAAAATCTGATTTACTGGATATTCTAAACAACTATAAACACTCATCAGTATAAACCCAGAGTTCAGTGACATTCAATACAATAAGTTTTTGCATTTACACTCTGAAGTCATCATGCCCTCACTTTTCGACAGGTTAACCTGCCTGGTCACTGTGCTGGTTTTTTGTATTGTTTCGCAGCGTTTTATGTTCTGTATATTAGAGACTTATTTTAGATACACCACCCCATTTTTGTTATGGTCGGGTTACATTCGCCGATGTCACACATCCGCTTGCGGCGTACTGGCGATTTTTGTTCCTCGCTTTCATTGCTTAGTCTTTTTTTTATTGACCAATTGGATGAGCTCGCTAAGGAACTTATACTCCGCGTGCTGAGCAATTAGCTTTGCCGGCTCGTATTTTAAACATAGTGCCCTGGGTCTATAGTTTTGCCATCTTATAGTTTTAGTAATGCAGGTCGCATTCCTATTACATTTATTAAGTAGGTTTCAATTGTTGATATTTTATTTTTCAGCATTTTCTCAGTCAAATAACTTGAGGGCACATCTCCGGATACATACAAATGAGCGACCGTTTAAATGCACGGAATGCGGGAAAGCTTTTACGCAGGTACAGCAATAAATTGTAAAGAATCTTGTATCTTGTAATGTTTTTTCTCATAATCAATCACAAAGAAACTTTAAAATATGTACATTTTATGCACAGTTTGGAGGATCATATCGCTTACTGAATAGTACAGTGGCACAACTCAAAAACCATTATTTCGAGAAAACGCCACAACATTGTGGTGGTATCCCATAGATAATTTAAAGAAAAAATAAAAAACTTAACAGTAATAATATAATACAAACGATTTAACTGTTATGCAAAAAAAATGATTTTCATAATTATATTAAATTTTCATAACTTCGGAGAGCGTTTCTCGAAATATGGTTTTTGAGTGTTGGTGTTGGTGTCTTTATACACATAAGATGTTAGAGTTGCTGGCAGTATTCCAAAGTTTTATGCCATAGGTCCACAGTGAAAATATGCACATGAGCGTATTTTTAAACACTGTTATATATGTAATGTTTTCAATTAACATTGTCTCTCCCTAATTACCTCTGTAGAATCTAGTAAGGCCCACAAGTGATATAGATGTATTGATTTACAGGTGACCAATTTGAATAACCATGTTCGACTTCACACTGGCGAGAGGCCTTATGTTTGTCCAGAGCCCGGCTGTAATAAGGCTTATGCTCAGGTAAATATAAAAAAAAAACCCAAGCCTTTCCTGTATAGCTTTCTTATCAAAATACCCACGAATGTCATCACGCGCTCTGATGGAGATTTCATTTGACGTGCAATGCAGACTAAAATAATCGAAAATTATAATTACAGTTATTATAAATGTTAACAGAGCTTTTTTTTTATTTACAAAAGGCACTGCTACAGAAAACAAATCATACAAGATAAGGTTATAATATGTCATAGTAAAGTACAATGTTTGTCCTCTGATTAAAGCAACGCACACCTCCTAAAATAAACTTTCTATACTCCATTCATTATAGCATTAGACAGAAGTTAAATAAGGTTCTTTTTATGGTATACTTTGTGACAATATATCAATAATCATGTTACTTTTAAGAGTGACGGCTAATTTGCTACATATCCACTTAAATACCAGCTGCTATACTTAACTGTTTTCATTTAAGCTATCTATTAAACAAATTTATGAGTATTTGACGAACTTAAATGATTTTATAACTATTGCAATAAAAAGTGTGCATCTTAAAGAACCCAAAGAGGCAGGGTTGGATAGTTTCGGCACGATTCTCATGTCACTATAACTCTACCAAATTTAAAACGTTGCCTCATCCCTTCAAACGTTTCGGCAGAACAGTTTTTTTAATTTTGTCAGACTATATTTTATTCATAATTGTTAAAATACGTAATCTGGGATTGTCATCCGTTGTGAATGCTGCCTTTCTAGTTGTTTTGACGTTTTCCGTGATTTGGTTGTTATTTTTTTATTTTTATTTTGTTGTAGTATTGTATCTGTTGTTAAGTTTTGTTAAATATTGACGATGCTGGTGCAGGCCCGAATGGCCTACAACAATTAAGCTTTAATCCATTTCAGGAAGTTTTTCTAATGTCATCATTTATAGTCTAACTAATGTCTGAATAAATGTTATAATAACAAATTCATTTTGTTTACCTTTCTTTCCTGGGCATAGATATAACTAAATTCTATTCTAATTATATGCACTTACAATTAGAATTTATCAAAACAACAGATAGATAGTTTTAGTTCCATGTTGGCTTGAGAGTGAAAGATGAATTAAGAAAATGCTGGCCTCATCTCAACCCCGAGGTATCATAAAAAATGGAAAATTGCGCAGCTCTTTCAGACAGACGTTCAAAGTTTCAACAAAATTTATATTTATTAAATTTATCTTTAAAATAAAATGTTCTGCGCTGCTGCTTCTATGACCCTCTTTTTTCTAATGTTAAATGAATGAAGTATATATTTTGATAATGGTAATACTAGCCAGTAAGTACATAAACTATATCGTGTTTATAATATTTGAAAAATAAGTTTCTTACTATATTTTTGTTCAGGTGACGAATTTGAATCAGCATCGCAAGCGTCATTTGAACGGTAGACCGGTGGAGAGCTCGTACGATTGTACAGTGTGCGGTGAACAGTTCCATCAACGTAACCACATGTATACACACAGGTGACTTTTTTCCTAGTTTATCTTCAAGCTATCAGTATACTTGATTATGAGCTGATTTGTTGTTTTTTAAACTTTTATGGTCATTAACATCAGAATTATTGCTAAAAACAGGATTACTACCATGTGCTATCCCGTTTTTAGCAATGGCACGGCACACTATAAGTGTCAAATTTCCCTGTCAAAGTAGCTCGGTGGCGTAGTGGATAAGCGTCGCGGCCTGCGATCGTTGTCGTTAAGCAACTTTCGCTAGGGTCGGTCACGGGATGGGAGACCAAAAAATTATTATCTCGAGCTACTCCGTGCTTCGGAAGGCACGTTAAGCCGTCGGTCCCGGCTGCATTTGCAGTCGTTAATACCCTCCAATACGCATTGGGCCAGCGTGAAGGGTCATGGCCCATACTCCTTAACCATCCATAAAGAAGGCCGGAGCCCCTGCAGTGGGGACGTAAAAGGGCTGATGATGATCGGGATTTCGTCAACAACTGTGACTTACAAACAATTGATTGTTAGTTCTAAGAGGCAATAACTATTTTATTTTTATTTAGACCAGTGGTTTTTAACCTTTTTTTTTGCTGGCAACTCAAAATTTAATATATCTGAAACTCTAGACACCGACTAATTTACTTCTGTATATGTTGAGGTATTAAAATTGTTAGTTTTAATTTAGTATTAATGTGTGCATCAATTTAACAATAAATGGCTTAGATTATAGGCATTAAAGTTGAAGACTGGGGGTTCCCTACGTCAAAACTATGTAGAAAATGTATAGAGGTTTGGCTTAGATAATAATATAGCTGACGGTCAGATAAAAAAATATTGTCTTCACTATTATCAGTGATTAGTATGTGTGGATAAATGATATGGTTGTTTGTAGACGGGAGGTGCACGGTGAATCACGCGCGGTGGCGGCGCGGTACCCGTGCGGCGAGTGCGACGCCACGTTCACTACTGAACGGATGTTGCGCGCGCATCAAACGCAACACGCCACACCTGATAATGACGATAAAGGTAAGCCTAGGTACATCCGGCTCGAAGGACCAATAGGCAGGTAGCCCTCCATGTTGATTCTTATAGAGTGATCAAGTTATAGTAATGATATGGATTTTATTCAATCGTTAGTATAAATAAAACTCTTATGGAACAGTCAACACAACATCAAGTTGTACAAAAGTATGTTATTTCTTCACTTCAATATAATTAGGTTAAAGTTAAAGTTTAAAATTGCGGAATTTTGACATGTTGTGATAATTAATTTAAGCTAGAATTTTATTTTAAGAATAGTCTGGAATTGTAAATTTATTATGTTTTGATTTTGCTTTAAAAGAGGTAGGTACTGAAAATTATAAATTTTATTCAAAATTTAGTATTTCCTTTGTCGGAATATAATCCCAAGATTTTTTTGTTTAAGACTTGATTTGAGTGTAGGATTTGATCGTCAGTTAGATTAGCTCAGGTTCTGATGTTGGTAAGACCGAACATCGGGCATGTTCGGTCTCGTCCATTACCAAAGTGTCCGTCTGTAGCACGACGTGATGTTATTGTTATCAGCGGAGGGTACCCTGCGGTGCGTGTTCAGTGGTTGCGGTGTGTCGTTGAGTAGCGCGCGCGCACACACCGAGCACCTGCTGCGGGCACACCAGCTGCGCGTGCTGGCCGCCCCCGCGCCCGCGCGACCCCCGCGCCGCGGCCGCCCGCCCAAGGTCAGTACACACCAGCTGCGCGTGTTGGCGGCCTCCGTACCCCGGCCGCCCGCCCAAGGTCAGTACACACCAGCTGCGCGTGTTGGCGGCCTCCGTACCGCGGCCGCCCGCCCAAGGTCAGTACACATCAGCTGCGCGTGTTGGCGGCCTCCGTACCGCGGCCGCCCGCCCAAGGTCAGTACACACCAGCTGCGCGTGTTGGCGGCCTCCGTACCGCGGCCGCCCGCCCAAGGTCAGTACACATCAGCTGCGCGTGTTGGCGGCCTCCGTACCGCGGCTGCCAGCCCAAGATCAGTACACACCAGGTGCGCGTGCTGGCAGCCTCCGTACCGTGGCCGCTCGCCCAAGGTCAGTACACACGCTGCTGGTATACACGGTATACTTGCTGCTAGTCCATTTTTATCAAACCTAAATAAAAAATGGCATTCGGTCAGACTTATCAGCTGAGCGAGGGGAATTTTCGCAGCTTTTCAGTTAAGAGGCAATGCTGTTTTCATTGACAGAATTTCTTTAGTACACACTTACACAGTGCAAGATTTTCTGCAATTCTGAAAACTCAATAATTATAATGTAATAAAATTATTGAGTTCTCAGAATTGCAGAAAATCTACTCTAAAAAAATTTTTTTTTGCTTATTTATGTTTGTGATAAACTATGAAAAAAAAAACAAATTTTAATTCATTTAATTTATGTGTTCCTCGAAATCAATCAGTCACGTGATATTTCGAGCAGTGACATCACATTTCAATAAACATGAGTACTAGTTGCACTTGCAACAAAGACGTAATACAAGTAATATTTATTGAGTACCTTTGTCTTTTATAAGTTTGATATTTAATATTGATCACTGTCAATAACCTATTCTGCCCACTCTACACAACTCTCAATTTCGCTCCATGCTCATCACTTGTGGTTTAGTAGTAGATTTAGCTTGTTTTTCATGTGTATTATCCAAGACAATATTTTAATTGTGGTATTTTTTTACTTTTAACAGATTATGAAAGATGATCCGCTAGCTAACACAGAATACCACAATGTAAGTATTCTTCTTCATTTACCTTTTTAGTAAAAAAAAACACTCCATACAAAATTATTAATTATTTCAGATCAAAATAATAAAAGAAGATCATCCTCAATACTTACCTAAGTTGAGAGTGCAGCTGAAAGTTCAGAGTATGTTCGAGTGAGTGGACCGCCAATGATTTGGCTAAAAACGGCACCAATAAACGTTATATGAATATTAGTATTATGATTAATTGTTTGCCTGAATTGCTCAGTTGATCATGAAACGTGTTACAGAGAAAAAACATAGTTAGAAACATGTTTTTTTACAACCTGTAAAATGGGAATATGCTGTGATGACTCGATGAGTGTCGTTTAACATTGACATCACGTGAAAACAGACTAAATATAAAAACAGTATTAGATTAAAAAATAATTTGGATACTAGACCATTTTTATAGTAATGCATTACAAAAATTTGTTCCGTGAGACATTCACTGTTGAAAGAGAAGCTGGCCGTATTTTTCCATATTTTATTTCGTTATTTGCTAACCCTGATGCTGAAGCGCATTGTTAAATTAATATTTCCCATAAAGCTTATTCGGGGCCATCCATAAATTACGTCACACTTATTGTATGATATTGAACCTTTATTTGTCATAGCTATTCACGTTTATGAGACTCCCCTCACCCCCGGGTACGCTCCAGAGTATTAAATTAAAACAGCAGTACCGGAATTAATTTTATTTTGTTAAAAAATATTTTTAGTTAAACTAATATCAAATCAATCATTCAAAATATTTATTTAATTCGAAATGTGACTTCACAAAATTTAGACACCTCTGTCAAATCTAGTCACACTTATCACACTTTTCCCTCTACTCACCCTCCCTGTCCCCATAAAGTGTGACGTTATTTTATGGATGATCTCTGTTTAAACGAGGTAAAGTATCGTTTCGAATGAATGAATCCAACTGGGCGTGTATATTGTCACTTTTACGTAACGTATATTTAAAGTATAACAGAATAACGTTTAATCGTAAAACATGTAAACTAAAAGAAGTATTTTTGGCAAAGAGATAATTATTAAATTACAATTTATGATCTCTAAAACAAATTAATTAGAGTACTTATTTATAATATATGTATTAGTTGTTTCCCGTTTTGGAGTTGTATAGGTCGTGTGCTTACTTTTAAAAATCACAGACATTTTGCAATTTTAAATGTGTATTTGTGGCGTTCATCTGTGAAGAATACGCGAATGTTTCTTATAAATTGTATTTTTATTCTTTCTATACTTAAGTTTTATCGTTAGGGACATAGTGTCGTTTAAGTGATATTATTAAGTGCAATTTTCAAATAGTTATATGGCTTAAAGTAATTAAGAGAGGTATGCAATATCAGATATTTTTATTTACACATTTTCAGAATGTTAAAATTAATTCCCGAATATGTTTTTGATATGTATAAAACTATTTCTTCTTTTATAATATAATATTTTTAAAATATTGTCATTGCGTATTTTTATATGTAATAGATGTAACCCTAGATAACTTAATTCGTACCGTCGATAGTATTTGAGTTTAATGTTATAACAACATCTAATAATTAATAAAATTATGTATAAAAAACACGACAGCACGTTAGGTTATCACAAGTTATTTTTAACGCTACCGTAACAATATTTATATTTAAACATTTGACAGTTTTCTATAATCTGACGAGGTGTTGATGGTTAATGAATGAATGAATGAATGAATGAACACTTTATTGTACTTGAAAATAAAATCAACATAACAATTAATAACAATAAACAGTATCACAAAATGATAAAATTATTTAACAGTGAATCTATTAAAGTTTTTATTATTGTCTCAAATTCATAAATTTTTGTACATCATTCAACCCGCGCACAAATAGCCTATCTTTATCGGTGACGGTTAAGTTCAGTTTTCTTCTAAAAATAGATCTTGAGCAATATATTAGGTAACAGTATAATTTACAGGAGTCATGGGTTTTTAAAGTTAATTGCAGAAATATGACAGTTTTGGAAAACTTTGTGTACTCTATATTCTAGCGAGCTATTCTATATAATAGCGTATATATATATTTCTTTGGTTATTATGAAGTTTAATTAGGTATATATTTCTGTGGGTTGTTCGAGTATTTGACGAACTGCCATGCTATTCTGTTAAAAACAGCCTCAAACTTAACATCGAGTGTAGCGCTGTGACAGCTAAAGTTTCAATGTAATCAATAAAAAATAATATGATCTTTGACTACCTTTTGAAGTAGGTTTTATTTCATTGAACTTCTATGAAATGACAGCGTTGCGCTCAAGTTGGAGTTGTTTTTATAACAGAATCGCACTGCAGTTTCATTCAGTTATCTAGGGTTGAACAAAGTAACAAATTAAATAACACAGTCTTCCCGCTGTTGTATGTAAATGCATATTGACGTAACAAATAGTAAATTTAATGATACCAGTGTTAAAATTCTGTAATGTTTTTCTTATTCTTTGATTTTCAATAGTATCTTAACATATTTTTTGCAGCTAACTCATATTTTAATGTTACCTTAGTTTTTATCTAAAGATAACTGCCGCGGGTATCTTTTTATTGTAATTATTTTTCTAAGAGTACCTTTCTTAAAATATATTTTTTGTATATCTGTTTTTTTTTTTGTAATTCGTGCTAATATTATTTAGCAACAGTAATATGTGTTTTTAGTGAGTTTTTTCGAGAAATAACTGTACTATTTAAAATTTATTGAAAAAAGATTTATTTTTATTTAAGAAATTTCCTTTCTTAAAGAAGGTTGAATAGAAAATTATTGTAAATTAACCATTGGTGTAATTATATATGTATATATTTATTTTCTATTAATAAATTAACTATTTACTTTGTAAATGTTGTTGAGCAACAAACAGTATTTTCTAAAGGATCAACATTTTTTGCGTGTAAATTTTGATTGAACTATTTGAATTTGTCCGTTCATATATAGTACGCCATGTTAGCATATAGATTTTAAATACTTTTTAGTGACGCCAACGCCATTTGCATGGATTTTATGATTTAATGGAATATATATTATTTCACATTTGTTTGATGTAGTCATCGCGTTCTTGAGTTCGAATCCTGATTCAGGAAAAATGAAGCAATCAAACTTTTTTTTTTAAATCCAGCACTTAGTTGCCTTATAACGGAAATTGCTGGTGAAACTTAGTTTTGTGGTTGCCGCTGCCAACGCAATGGTCTTCGTATATATTTCGGGATACCAGAACTATACCTTAGTAATGATGGAAAATAGTGTTTTAATTTGTATACCTGGAGTATTCAACTCCAGGTTTTTTGACTTCTTTGTTCTCGGTTCACAGACCACGTACGTGCTATGATTTTATTGGTAAAAGTTACGTGCAACGGTTTCAGATAAAACTAATGAGTACGAAGCTTCAAAGAATAATCTCAAACATGAGATGCGAACTCAAGTTCTCGAAGACGTACAAAGGACTCTATCGCCTATCTCGAAGCCATAGCAAAAAATTTGCTGTAAGCTAGCTACAGCTTTGAGTCTTATGGCTTAGTAATTACTGAGTGTAGCAATGGATTATTGATTGTCTTGATCCATATGTTACGCGAAAGTACTTTCATATCTAATATGGAAGATCATTGTAAACTTTAATATTATTAAATCAAAGTAGATAGGTGATAGACCTAGTTTTTTTTGTTATATACTCCATTTTGTTGCGAAGGTTTACTGTATATGCAAACAGCTGGAGTTCACCACAGTTTTAATGTGTTTGACGTGAAGATGTCAGGGTCGTGAAATTCTAATGAGAATAAAATTAGATTTTCTCCTTTTTCGTTGAAGTATGTACCTCGGTGAAACTTTTATGCAACTTCGTCTATGGAATTTTAGAATACTTAACTGTAGAAAACAAACTTGTTTTATTTCTTCCGTAATATAAAATAAAATGAAAAAAAAATGGAGGAAGTTGGACTACTTTTTTGGTGTACCATAGATCTATCTATCTATAATGTAAGACTACTATTATTATACCCACTGTGATTATTAAAAAATAAGAATATACTCTATTATATTAAATTGAATGCATAGAGAATTATTTGGTATTATTAAATTTTGACTAAGAAACTTAATAACGGACCTATTACAGTCCCAGGTAAGCTTTTCTTTCGTTGGCCATCCTCTTTTATAGTACTAAAATAGCCTAGTGCGAGAGAAAGCTCTCATGCTGTAGGTAAGGAGGTTTCTATCGTCCTAGGATATAGACGAACTACAAAAACGTTCTTAGTCTTTAAAAAATATTGATCTCATAAAAAACTGCCATGTTTTTCTTCATGTGTTATTTATTTAGTGTAACTTGCGTAATAAACAACTTTCGGATGTGTCCATAAGCACGCTTATATGTTTTTATATTCCGATCACTTTTCTTGTCTAAAAGACCGATATGTTGGTTGTTTTTGTCTGTTACACACATTGATATCAATATGTGTTCATATTAATACGAGATTCCTTTTCTTTGTATTAAATGACAATGAGGATCAATTAAAGCCCCCTATAATACGGATGACGACAAAATTTTGTTTGTTTGTTCGTCAGGTAGATTGTTGAAAAATATTAAACACGTATTTTTTATTTTTTTCGTAATCATTGCATTATGGCTTACATTGTTGTGACGTCGTGTCGTAGCGTATAAAACTGTGGCGTCGCTAGCCCCGACTCCTCAACTTTAATGCCTGTTATCTAAACTATTTCGTGTTAAATTCAAATAAAAAAAATACGTATCTAATATTTTTCTATTATCTGACTGACTGACTTGATGGAATTTATTTTTTTACCCAGTCGTCGTCCCTATTGTATGTGCAGTAAGTTTCAACTAGTACAGCGCGCGGTGAATATTCGTTAGCGCGTAGATGTACCAATTTATGCTATGATCGAATGTACTAATTTATAATGAACCTTGTTTTTATAGCCATTAAACGTGAAATTTAGCCTTTTGTTATAGTACTAAATTGTGTTTTAATGTATAACTTACGCGATTTAGAATTCATCCGATAGCTTTTTATTAAATGAGTGTGTGTACGATAACTTCGAAAATATGATAAAGTATTATAAAAGTCTATCATATTTTGTATGACTATTACACCCTGACATCTTCATTATC